TAAATATTGTTTATTATTAAATGGTTTATTCTAACTCCCATATTTGGCTCCTCAAGCAGACTGTAATGATTTGGAACACTTGTGTGACAAAGTGTTGTGTTAAAACAACATCCCTGCAGTGTTCATAGGGAGAGAGACAGAGGGAGAGAGAGAGAGAGAGAGAGAGGGAGAGAGAGGGACTAGTTAATGCAGAAACATTTTCTGTTTTTCTGCTTTTTCATCTTTTCTGTTATGATTAGTCCTAAAATATGACACGTTTCTCATAAATGAAAAAAATGAAAATAGCAGTATATTCATTTGAGTTTTCTTCAACAGGGAAAAGGAATTCTGTTCTCCAGAATAAAGTCCAGCATCACCAAAGCTCTGGTACTCTGAACTTCCAAGAAAGCGAGATCATCCAAAGAATAGTGCAGCATGACCGTGACATGGCCCAGTGCACACAGCTGATCCAGACTAGCCTGAACCTCCCTGCACCCCCGTCTCCCACCCCGGTCATCTGGGCCCCGCTGGTTCAGGCCCCACTTCAGGCTGCTGCTGCCACCACCCCGCTGGCTCTGGCCCTGGCCCACCAGGCCCAGCTGCCCCCCATACTCTTCCATCACGCTTTGGGAATGGGCTCTGGCTCCCTGAAGGACCCCATCAGCCATTCAAAGAGGTTCTATGCTGGAGCCAACACCTCCAGCAGCTGTGGCTCAGGGCCTGTCTCTCCTGCCAGCCCTATGAAGTTCAGACCTGGGGTTGAGACTCCCACATTGGCGTCCCTCAGGGCTCCTTCTCATGTGTCACCCACCATGATGTCCCAACCCATCTTTACCAGCAGCCTGCAGCCTCTGACCCCTCTGGCCTCCCACCAGCCCTTTCCCCATCCTCCCCACTCCAACATGACCCCAGTCTACCCAATCGGCCAGACCACTGTCTCGTACACCTGCTCTGCCCAGCTCCACTCTCAGCCTTTCCATGGTGCTATGACCACCCCGCCACTCCCCATAGGTTTACTCCAACAGGGGGCAGCAGGGAGGCTAGTAGGCAGATTCCCAGCCCCCTCTGCCTCCACCTTAAACCCTCTGATCTGCAGCTCGGTCAGCCCTATCCTAAGCCAGCTGCAGCCGCCCTCTCACGGCAGCATGCAGCAGATGGGGTACAGTCATGATAAAGCAGGGAGGATAACTAGTGGTCTGACCCTCCCGCAGTTTCCTTTCATCACCAGCACGCGGTGCTCAACCGGATTTACTCAGCCTGGGTCTGCAGCCACGGCCGGGGCCGGGGCCGCAGCCTCCCTAGCTCAGCACAGCCTTGCAGGTCTCCAGTCTGTTTTTCTCCCCCAGGTTCTCCCTGAGCACTCGGCCCTCGCCTCCCTTGCCCAGTATGGCTCTGCTGATGCTTCACCCTGCTACACGCCTCCCATCCAGAGTCCCAACATACAGAGCCCTGCAACCGGGAGGACAGTTTACCACAGTGAGCTCCCCAGCATCGCGGGCTCCCACAGCCCTCATCTCCCTCAGACCTCATGCCCTGCAAGGGTGGCGTGTTCCCCCACAGAGAGGGCCCAGTACTCGGCAGACCTCTTTACCCAGGAAATAAAGACAATCTCAGGCTCTCACAGCTCCATACACCAGGACAGGCCTTTGGCCATGAGCGGCTTCTCAGAGGCGGCGCTGGGGGTGTCAAGTCCCTTCTCCTCTCCCATGGCCATCAGTAAACCTTACAGCCAAATCCCAGGGCAAGCCACTCCCATCAGTCGGACACATTCAGGGTCAGAACCTCAGAACCTTCCCATCAGCGGTCATTCTCCCTACACTAGATCTCCCTCTGCAACGTCAGAGGCCGAACAGAAACAGTCCAAACTTCCGTCTAACTTGTGAGGTTCAGACACACCCTCCTTTTACGCCTGATCATAAAACCATCTTCTTCTTGGTGTTGGTTCAGCCACTACTTTGTGGAATTTTCTAGTAGGAGGGTGTGTTTTTCTAACCAGATTGGAGATCAGTGGTTTCATTTTTAATCAGAGCGAATGGATCTGGGAGGATAATGGACAATTATGGAACATTTTCTACAGGACATTGCATCTTTGAATATAGTAATAAAATCCAAAACCTATTGATAGGTATATATAGCACCTCATGAAAATATCAATTGTTCTATGTATAGTATTATAACCACACGCTGTGATTTGTTATAAGTATTTGTTTAAACCCCGTTGTCCATTCAACTTTGTGTCATTTAGCTTTACCTGTTTGTTTGGAAATGTGTCCACAAGTGTATCCAGAAACCAAAAATTATTGTCCTTTTTTATTTCCCTTCCCACCACTGAGTTTGTCGTGAGAATGCAGGGTTCCCTCTTAAAGAGATTGGAGGAGAGACGGACTGTGCACTTTGCTCGTTTCAGAGATCACCTAAGGTAACAGTTTGATGACGGCATGTCTTCCAAGAGAGCTTTTCAGCAATATTGCACACCCTAAATGGGTCACACAAATCAGATCACATTCAGAGACACTGAAGTAATGAATGTAATGTAATGTTTGTCTGTGTCTGAGTGGGAGAAGTGGGATTAATTTTTGAATATGTTGAACTTTGGGTGGCGATGAGAGAGGTTTTCTGGAAAGTAACTGGAAAAGTTAAAAACGGGTTCCAGAGGTAACGCACACATTTCTGTTTCATGTCCCAGTACAGAACATACGCCTGAGCCAAGGTCTGTGTGCCATCAGCATAGTATGCAATAATCTGTGTTTTTTTTATGGGTACTGTGAATAGAAGCACTTGAGTCGATGAGTGAGAGTCTGTTTTTAGATAGAACAGATTAAAACAAGGGAATCAAATGAAATAAAAGCAATCGAGGATAATCAAACGTCCTGAAACCAGCAATGCACTAAGACTGATCTGAATGTTTCTTGCACCAGTCAAAGGGCTAAAAGCAGTTACTAGGACACACGGTTAACCAGAAACCCTGATGGGTCATATTGCTGCATATTTACCTCTTTCATTTCATATCATTTGATTGTAAAAAAAATTGACATCTGTTCTTGAAAAAATTGCTGCTTTGTGATGCTATGCCGAATCAAAAGTCGTCTAACATGGACTGCTTTTTTTTTTATTTTATTCCTTCCACTTGTTAATGAATTCATGTGTAAAGATAATATTTCTCTATCTCTCTCTCTCTGTGGACCTGCGACTGGTGAGGAACTGTAAGCAGCAAAGCAGTCAGCAGGTCAAGCCATCGCAGGATGCTGTCCAGTGGCTTTAGCTGACTGGTTCCTGAACCCGACGCCTGCTGTGACTCTGAGGGGAGAGAGATACTGTCAGTCACTAGCCAGCCGCTGCCAATGGGCTCAATCAATTCCCCATTATTATTCTCCTCCAACTTACACCACAACACCACCCGCCTGAGGCATCAGCTCGGACTGAGTGTAGCGTTTCTTTGAGTGCTTTTAGGTTAAAGGTGTGTGTAATGGAGGAGGTGTCAGTCATTCATCTATTTATATATTTATATCTCATTTTGCTGCCTTTTACGATTCCATCACCTATGTATGTTAGGAATATTTTATTTTAGCTACTGAATTCAATGCAATAAAATAACAATTAATGATGCTTGTCCTAGCCGTCGTTTTTTTTTTTTTTTTTTTTTAAGAGCAGGAGGCACTGAAGGAGAATCTGATAAAACACTGCTGAAGTTACAGACTTTAAGCCGGATTAAAAATGGCGGACTGCATGGTGCCACAATTCAAAATAGGCAGGATTTTAATCTGACAAATATTCAACTGGTGAGTACAAAAGAAATGATGAACCGCTGGATTAGTGATAAAATATAGGTATTTAATTCAATGCTACTGCAGGATTTCTTTTCGTCTTTGACATGAAGCTGTGAGGTTTGTCCAAATCTTAAAATCTTTTATGTCTTCTTGGAGAAATAGTGGATTTATGTTCCTGTTGTTTTAATAACTGTACCAGGAGTTTTCACTTTGATTTAATCGTCTGATGTAGTTTTTTCCATTCATGTCTCCCTGCTGTTACCTACGTACAAAATTAATTATTATTTTTTAAATCATTCCATTTCAACAATTGATTACATTTAGGACTTGAATTAAGATTAAAAACATCAACTTAAACTTTCCTTTTGTTCTGACTTTAAAGAGAGTTCAGTTTCAAATCATTTAGGGTGAGTCATTTGACTAAATACGGACCAAATATCTGTTATTATATAAATAAAAAACGCTAAATAATCCTGTCATTTTAAAACTTCTGAAGCTCATTACAAAATGTAATTCTTAAGTATTTCTTTTCACTGTTAGTTTAGTCATGTTTTATTTCAACATGTCCATTTTCAAACTGTTCAGATCAGAACCCGTTATGTGGCTGGAAACATTTTCATGACAGCCAAAGTGACAGCCAGTCGTGGGACTGATCGACAGCTGTCTGTTTTCTTGATTGACCAAACAGAGAAGCAGCGTTATCAGATGAAGAGGTCAAGGAGAGAATTTATGTTGGAAAACAAAAACCTAAATATATACTTATACAAACTGATAGTTGGATTTCTTTTTTGTGCTCCTTGGTCATTCTCTTTTCTGTATGTATTTACAGGATATATTTCATAACCTCTTATGTATTAATTGAATATCTAGCACTGTAGGCGTCTGCAGAGGCTTAATTTGGTTTTAAATTCATTTTCCTCCTACATCAAACTTACAGTGTGAAAATCAGTGTTTTTGTTATGAAGGCTCTGCTGTTCCACCCTGAGCTTGTTTTCAAACTTCAACAACTCTTTTTCAAATTAATCTCGCACAAGGTTAACATTTAGTTTTCTAGCTCTAGTTAGTCTACAATTTATTATCAAACTAAATACTGACCTTGTACATTACATTGTTCAAGCTAATTTGTTGTACTTTATCTGATTTTCAAACAACTGGATGATGTGGCTTCTTTGAATATTAGAATGTTCAAAATGATACAACAATAGCTCAAATTTCTCAATTTAGAGTGATAACAAGAGGAAGACAAACACCACCAACCGAACAGTTCCTTTTAATGGATGGACCAGACATGCCAGATCACTTCACAATGATGTTTTGTGCCAGATTTCAGTTCAGCACTGGAGAAAACAATAAGTATACATGTAAATGTGTATCCCTGGACAATCAAAGAACAAATAACCAAGGAATGACAGAATGTGAACTTCACTGTGTCCGTCATCTGAACAGAGTCGACACAGGTGACGGAGGATTTCCACTAAAAGGTTCTGAGTTCAGTCTTGGGCAGCAGGATTTAGACAAAAATCAATAAATATGAATAACGGGATTCAGAGAGTTTCTGTTTGTGAAAAAAAGTTTTTAAAGTCCTTTGAAGAAACGTCAAGGTGTTGTGTTTCTGTTAAGGGAATGGGGATGGGGAAGGGGAGTGGTTACTAATGTCCTCTGATGATGTTCAAGGCACCAGCACGACTCTCACGGTGTTGGTGTAACCGGAACCGGGGCGCCAGCCGGTCACAACGAGAGCCACATCACCAGACTTGAAGAATTTGCGGTGCTTGCCTTTGGAGAGAGAACAGATGGATGTAAGTTTAATAAAAAATATACAGATATATAGATATGTCCTCCTTTTTTTGGAGTTTAATTTCAGCACAACAATGGAAGTGAACACTCACCGTATTCCAGGGCAAAGTTCACACGCAGATCAACGTCCTCAGCCCAGACGTCGTTGGCAGCCTTGGTGTAGAGCACGGGGTACACGCCGCGGTACAGGTGGGCTTGGCGGGCAGTCTGACCGCAGCGGGTCACAGCCATGATGGGAGCGCGAGGCCTGTACCTTGACAGCATGTGAGCGGACCTGCAGGTGACAGGTTTTAATCAGTAAAAAGATTGAAATTATGTCTATTTCTACTCCAAAAAAAACTTCTGTGCCAAAAGTTAGTCATGCTGTAAATGACAGTTGGCTGCTTTGTAGCCGTGGAAACAGGTTGTGCAACTGATCACTGACACATTATCACCTTTAACTTGCTTTAGAAAATGTGTTAACTAGCTTTTATCACACTCAGTGGTTACGTAACAGCATTAGCACTCAATAAGACGAGAGAATGAGATGTAACAGTGTTTTGCACGATACGATAATACGATCTTAAAACTCTGTTTTAGGCTCCTCCAATTACTGAGTGGATATATCTGTCTCTGAAGCAGCTTAATAACTCAGGTTTCACCAGAGAGCTGCTTACTGTGTTAGTTAGTGTTTTTTAACAACTAAAAATTACCCTCTGGGAGTTGTGAGAATCAATAAAACATTAAATGTGCTGATCAGAGAGGAGGTTCCATGAGCAGAAAGCAAAATTAAGCTTTCCAGAGTTTTAACAAAGCAGCAACAGCAGAGCCCCAAGAAAGTTTGGACTACAACTCTGTTCACATGCAGTAGTCATGTGATCCTTTCTCAGAGTAAAATGTGGATAAAGCTGCTTTAATTATACAATCATCATAAAGAAATCACTCCAGCTGACAGTGTTACATCCTGTGTGTCATGAGTTGTGGGGATGAACTACCAAAAGGACAGCAAAGCACATGGAGTTAAAATTAGCTTGTAGAATGTCAGGGTTCACATCAGAAAGGTCACTGCTGGAGCCCAGATTGTGTTTGCCGTGAAAGTTGGCACACTCAATAAGAGCCATGGGCTTGTGTTAGGAATACAGTGGAGGCGGATAGAAAGATGTTATAACACATCCGTTTGCTCACAGTGGGCGACAGGGAGAATATTATGACTCAGAATGCAGAGGAGATTTACAGGAGGGAGAGTCTCACCTTCCAGACTTGGTAAGCACGATGATGGCGCTCGCGCAGCATTTGAAGGAAGCTTCAACTGCACCGATAGCGATGGTCTCTGTGGGGTCACGGGTCAGATGAGAGGTGCGGCGGAGCTCCTCGAACATCTGCCTGTGGAACATGGCTGCCTCGGCCTCACGGGCAATCTGAAGGTTTGAAAATAAAAAATAATACAACAGAATAAAGCAGTGTCAGAAGTCAGGGGGGGGAGGGGCTTTAACTGAAGAGTTAGTTTGAATATTGAAGGACAAAACATAGGGAAGGTTAACCTCAGTGCAGAGGTCTTCATACCTGAAAGCACACTGAGACATGAAGCTAAAAAACTGCGGTGGCCATGATGTCCAGTTGACTGTTGGTTTGCACTGCAGATCCTCAGACACATGCTAGTTGAGTAACATTATCACACAGTTAAAGCACAGTGCAAGAAGACAAGGTGTTTGGTAACAGAAGGACAAATGGAGGGAGCAGTGACAGAGGGATACGCAAAGCAAGTTAAACAAACGCAAACAAGTTGTTAGTAAAAAAAATCAGGCTGATGCCAGTGATGCACTCACAATATAATTGTATGGTATAGTGTGGTGTGATATCGTATCGTGTCCTGTCCTGTCTACAGTACATTACTGTAAAGCCTGGCTTACAATTCTGCCTTAAATCTACACCACACTGTAGTGGCCTATGCTGTGGTGCGTTCTACATGCTTGTGCGTTGGTGTGTCTGTTTCTGCAGCTGCTAGTTGGCAGTGCGATTGCTATGCTAGTTATATCGCAGTTTCTGGGTTCATTAAAATTCTCTGCTTGTTTGTGTACAGGATATATTAATGTGTTGTGTCGTGTCTACAGTATCGTCTTGTCTTGTATCTCATGGCATTCGGTCGTAAAGTCTATCTTATAGTGTCCGGATATATAATTCCACATCTTATCATTTTGTACTGTACTGTATCATCACACAGAGTACCTCATCATAAATGTATTGAATCATATCTTATCATATCATATTGTTATTCACAGACTATGTATATAAAAGCCTGCACAAGTATTAAGATGGCAAGGCAGCGTTGTTTGCTCCAACCAGTGTGTCGCTTAATTCAATCTGGCAGCTTTTGTCATTGGAAAACAACATTGGCACATTTCCCGCCCCCCAATATAAAAGAAAACCTGACCAAATATGCAAAAACCTTTTCTATAGACTTTAAGCGTTGCTATTACATATGGTTATGTTACAAGACATACCACAGAAAGCAAGTCAGGGGTTCTCTTACTCTGTGCTGCGTGAGCACAGCCTCCAGCGGGTAGTCTCCCTTGGCGGTCTCACCACTCAGCATGATGCAGTCGTTGCCATCCAGCACAGCATTTGCAACATCACTGGCCTCAGCGCGAGTAGGGCGGGGCTTCTTGGTCATGCTCTCCAGCATCTGAGAAACAACAAGAAGACTTCCTGATACACTTTTCTTTTTACAATATATATATTTTTTTTAACGAAACAGCTGTCCTACTGATGTCACAGACCTGTGTGGCACAGATGATGGGCTTGCCGATCCTGGTGCACTTGCCAGTCATCATCTTCTGGGCAATGAAAACCTTCTCTGTTGGGATCTCAATACCCAGGTCACCACGTGCAACCATGATGCCGTCACTGGCCTCCAGGATTTCATCAAATCTATCGGGGACAAAAATATCTGTCAGATCACCCACCACCTTTTTCCAGAGGAATCATATCTGTGCTGATTCTGGGTGTCCACTTACCTGCGCACACCCTCATGGTTCTCCAGCTTGCTGATGATCTTGATGTCCTTGCCCTTCTCGCCCAGAACTTTCCTGACAGCCTGAACGTCAGCAGCCTTACGGATAAAGGAGGCGAAGACCATGTCAACACCCTGCTCCACACCAAACTGCAGGTCCTGAATGTCCTTCTCAGACAGAGCGGGCAGGTCGACAGCAGCTCCAGGCAGGTTGACGCCCTTCTTGCTGCCCAGCATACCGCCGTTCTCAATTTCACACATGATGAAGTCGTTTCCTTAGGACACAACATAAACAATGACCTTTTCATTTCCATCAACAAAATCCCTCAAGATAAACTGAACAGACTGATTGTTCCTAGCGCTTACCAACTTCCTTAGCCTTTAGAGAAATCAGACCATCGTCAATGTAGATGTTACTTCCGGTCTTTACAACCTTGGTGATGTTCTTGTAGTCGAGCCACAGAACTTTCTCATCACATTTCTCCATCCACTGGTCATCGAGTGTGAGCTTGATGGTTTCACCCTTCATGAGCTCAACCTCAGCGGTGCCACTCTAAAAAAAAAAAAACAGGAACAGATTCTATGTAAATATCTCATACAATTATTTTTGAATAAATAAAAAAATAGCCTCTTTGGGTTATGCTCTGGCCAGAACTCACGCCCTTGATAAGACCGGTCCTGATTTCTGGTCCCTTGGTGTCCAGAGCGATTGCCACTGGTCTGTAGTCAGCAGATCCTGGCACAAAGCTCTCAGTTGCCTCACGCATATTCTTGATGGTCTCAGCGTGGTACTGTGGGTTGTCAAAACAAATGTCGTCAAATGTCATCAAACGCCCCTCACACCCCACAACAAAAACAAACAAAAAAACATTAAACCTTTTTTTCACAGGGACAAAGACTATCTCTGAATGTGTCCAATTCTTACACGGTAACAGGAGGCCAGTAAACAACAGGTGGTCAAACTTGGGCATGCAGTCACATGGATAGCACAGCCCTGTTTACATAACTTCATACAGTAAGTCTACACGACAGCTGCAACACATTTTAGACATGACATTGATTCGTTTGTAACTAGCTGATCAAGGAGAGCAGATAAACAGATAATATGTTTTAATAATATTTTAGCATTAGTCCTACAAAATGAAACAATTGTTTTTTTTGTGTGTATATGTGAGTATGTAACTATGATTATCTTGTTTAAAGAAGTTGTTATCGTGTGTGCACATATTAGATGATGTGTGCATCATTATAATTATATTGTGCTTTCAAGTGCATCATTATCATCTAACTAAGCGCACAAGATAAAAACTGTTTCCACAAGATAATCATAGTATGCACACAATATGATAATTTGTTTCCACAAAATAATAACTTGCATGCACAAGAACAATTTTTTCACTTTTTTGGGGACTTCAGGGGCTCCGTACAATAGCCTTTAAAACAGGGAGGTCAAGAGAATGTATTGATAACCTACTAAATGTGATAAATATTACAGGTGGCTAGTTGATCTATCGACTTGCACAAACTAAGAAACTGCCTGTTTTAAACGCTCTATCGTATTGTCTACAGATGATTGACCACAGTCTCCTCTGTTTATAATGAATCCCTCCTCTTCATACAGTTGCTGCCAGGCGGACCCTCAGAAAACAACTATTAATAGTCCGACCACTAACAAACCAATGAGACAGGGGTCATTTCTATTTTGGACCTTTCATAACAAATCACACAACTGCCTTGTTGTGATTTTCTGGAGTTCTGACTGACATTTATTTTTTTGTTTTTCGCTACTAAAAACTTGCTGTTCCTTTGTTTAGCCATGCTGCACTGCACATTTAAAATCCACTCTGATGAAAAAGAGCACTCCTGTTAACCTTTGCAACTCCAAATATCTCCTGTGGATGTGTTCCTGCTCCAGCTAATGATAGATTTTAGAGCTCATCCACTCAGGTGACAGGGGAAATGGTAAAGAGGCATGACTTTTAAATGCAAGGGGTCATTAGTATAAGGTGCTGGCTCACCAAATCACGCGCCACAACACAGACCTGGCACTGAGAGGGTGAGCACAAGCTCATAGATCAGATTACAACCACAGACGGTCACAGGAGCAATGTCACACTCATGGCTGCTGCTGTAAAGGGTATATTTATATTGAGTCGCTTTAAGAGGTTAGAGAAAACTGCTGCTGTGAGGCGCTGCCTAGGTTCAAAATGTCACACATGTTAACAAAGATGAATCAGTGGTGTCACAGCAAATGTTTACGAGAAGTTATGGAGACAAAAAGAGTAATTATAGCATTAACTTACTTCATGTGTGCCATGAGAGAAGTTCATTCTTGCAATGTTCATCCCAGCCTTGATCATTTCCTTGGCCATATCCACAGACCGGGAGGCAGGTCCTGCATGGACACAGGTTAATGAAAGGTAAAGCATGAAGCTCAAATTCAAATTTGTAACCTCCAGTGGGGTTTCTTGATGAGTCTTACCGATCGTGCAGATGATGCCAGTGTTGCGAGACACAGCAGGTTCAGAGTCGATGTCCAGCAGGCACATGTGCTCGATGAACGTGTCGGCCATGGCAGCATGCATCTGCTGCGTATGGATGATGGAGGAGCCCATATCCTTAGTCTTCGACATGATTGGATCTGAGTCTGCAGGAAACGTCCTGTGGAGACGAAAGAAGGAAAATATTGTGGGAAGTTCCTCTCATTTATGTTATTGGTCATTTAGAAGATTGCGTTTTTTCATCGTTTTTTCACACCCTTTTTGTGAGTAAAATACTGTCATGAAAACTATATTTAAGTAGCAAATTATGACATAAACAGGAGCATATGGATTATCAAAGGGCATGGGAAGTAACTCAGAAACTATTCTAAGGTTCCATCAATCATGTCAATGGAAAAGTGCACACTTATAGTAAGAAGTGACCTCTCCATGGATTAATCTTAAGCCTCCACCAGTGGAGAGTGACTGTGCAAGCTGACCTAACAGCCGGCGCAAAAGAGCAACAACGACAGTATGTGCCTGCCTGACTGCACTCTCCCACATTCCAGCCAGAGTTGGTGTGCAGCCGAAGAAGAGGAGCTGCACATTTTAAACAGAGGCTGCAGGTTGCTCATCAAACACGCAAATAGTTGCTGGACTAATCTGAAAAGTAAGTTTGCGGCTCTTGCATTGTGCAGTGCTTGTTGAGAATCCAAAAGATGTCCGTAAACATGACAAAGCACAGTTATCAGGACTGGACTCTAATATAGGAGAGGTTTAAAGACATGCATGTCACACTGATGTCAATCAGCCAGTGCATGGAAAAATGAAGTGTGTGTCCAGGGAGAACATTCCTGCACACAGCATTCACCTAAAATAACATGGTCAACTGAGTGTATAAATAGACATCAGAAACATATCAGAAAAATGAGAAAATCCATTATGACATTATAATAAGATAGCAGCGTCTTTTATTTATTATTTATTAATTTACAGAAAGGTCAGAGCCATATTGCAGACATTTCTGAGTGCTGTCTACAAACAACCCCCATGATTTAAACAAGAAATCCAAGAAACACATCAGGCTGCTATTTACCTCATTACTGTCATTTCTCAAGCAAGGAAAGCTAAGAATGAATAAGATTCCCAAGAAGGTAAAAATAATAGAACAAGAAGCAGAGCAGATAAAAACGATAATCTAATAGATCAGAGTAAGACAGCTTTATTGACATTTTAAGTTAAAGTTTGTATAAAGAAAGACAAAATAGTGCACCCTCCTCATGTTCATAATGACAGTTAAGATTTCAAACAGAAAAAATATAGAATTAAATATAAATGTATTATTATAATAAGAAGTGTATGCAAGTAGATTATTATCATGCATTAACCTATAATTTGAAAAGTAATGTAAAAAAGTGATTAAATGATTTTGAAGTTAGTTCAAAATTTGAAAAGACTTGTACTATTTTAAAACATGAGAGGATCTACAGTTTAATTCCATCTAACACTGATCTCAAATCTGCTCTTTCTCTCTCTCTCTGTCATACAGTTCAGTCTACTCGCTTTTACTCACCGACGAGGTGAACTTTGCAGGGACCAAGACGGTGCTGCTTCCTCTGGAGTGACAGTTTTTATCCTCCTCACGTACCGGAACTACTTTCCTGCTGAAAAGGAACACCATATACACTGCATGTAGGGCGCGAAGTTTGAGGCAAATTTAACCATCTAAGTAGCAGCTGGAATTAATATTTTTTTCCCCACGGAAGTTATTTTTCTCCTCCTACACATAGTTTTCGAATCCAGTGGAAAGTTTCCTGATAAATGTGGAGTTGGACAATTATTGTGGAAGGATACAACGCAGGTGCGAGTGTTGTTTGCCTGTCCAACCTCAAATCCGTACGCTGGTCATGAACATGAGCCTGGTCACCAGTTTAAACTAAAAGCAGGTTATGACAATATTAAACTGTTTTCCTCTTGATAATCATCTCTGCAGTTTAACTACAACATTCTTTTTGACCAGTGGATGGAGAAATGTGATGAGAAATTTTTTATTTTTTTCCACGCTGAAAAGTTTTTCTTCCCTTTGCAGCTGGATCTTATTCTTTCTTTAGGCCTATATGATATGATGGCTTGACGTGCTATCATAAGGGACAATAACTTAAAGGCTATCATTCCGTAATAACTCTGAGCTGTCTAAATGTAGCAGTAGAAATTTAGAAAAGACCCTTACAGGAGTAATCACAATATTTGTACAGTAAGGGCTATCGCTGAGGAGCAGTAGTCATTTCTCATCTTGCCCTCCTGAATTCAAACTTTAAACACAAAGACAAAGACAACTGCAAATGTTTGAAAGTTCTTTAAATCCTTTCTTTTTAAATTCACCAATACAGATATATAGAATTACTCATTTGATCGTCAAGAAATTACATACGATACATTATCATACATATTCCACACGATGAAATTAGTTCAATTTCTATAAAAGAAATGTGAAAACTCATTGAAATTTTATGAAGCATTTATTTATTACTATAGTTTATTGTTTTTGTATGCTCATTTTTATGCACACATGGTTAAATGCTACAGTCACAGTTGTCTACACTCCTTTTGAAATGTTAGACATTTATGTTAGACTTTTTACGAGCAGGCTGCTTCATGCGTCACAAGATTTTAATATGCAATAATAACACATAAATAGTTTGCTACTGTAACAGATGACACACTTTTTCCATAAATATATATGTGGACCCCCCCCCCCTCCTCCACACGTCTGCATGTCAACTGTCAAGGCACAACATGTTGGGGCTACATGTGTTCAGCAAATAAATAGTTGAGCCATGCTTGGCTCCATTAAGCATGGGGATCAGATGAGGAACATACTGTACCTGATACATATATGTGTCATATTTAACATATAAGCACACACTCCTCCTTTATGTTATTTAATATAATGTTTAGCCTACATGTGCTGTCTCAGCTTCTTTTTAGCTACTAATGGGGGGACTGCACCTTTATACTTTCTATGTATATGCGCATTTCTTTTTTAAAATGAACATTAATTACCATTCCTCAAACTTAGGCAGCCATGTTTTGTTTTTTACTTGGATAAAATATGTCTTTTAATGTAGGTTAAGGAGAGGTTACCTCGCTGAGAGCTAATTGACTTGAAAAACCAAATCAGTCAACCAGCTCGACATAAAGGAGCCCATAACGACTGATGCCTCATTTATGACACCTTCGTATTTTTACATGTGGATGTGAGGGTCGCTCAAGATGATGAAATGTGATTCCAAACTGACTTTCACCCACCTCCCATCCATTTAAGGATTTTTTTTTTTTAATAGCTGTGAGTGTGAAGCTGGCTCAAAGCCAGTCAGACTACCGACTTCAGAGGAAAGCTTTACGACCAGTTTAAAGAAGGCTGAAAAGCTGAACAGAGAATTACTTTTATTAGAATGACACCCAATTATATAGTTATAGTTTCTCAGCTGTACACAAAGTACACAATCTTAATTAAAAAAAACAGACAAGTGATTGTGTTAATGTACCAACATAGAGTCTGGTCTAATATACTGTATAACATGCAACAGGTCAATAACCTGTTACAAGTTTCAATGGGTTTTTGGATTATTTTTCATTCACTTTTAACCAAATCAATCATCTTACATTTATGGTCCTATATGATAACTTTCAACACGTCCTAAATCCAGCGACAAATTGACTTTTAATAAGGTTTAAGTCAGTCATGCAGTCATGCTGCAAAAGCAGCAAAATGTCTGTTTCAGGAAGCATGCATACTGGATGTGCTTTAGTTGATGCATTTCACAAAAAGAGTTATTTAACTAAAGTAGAATATAAATAGATGTAAGGGAAAACATCTCTGCAAAGTGCGAACTAAAATTAAATGCTGACATTTATTTCATAATGTATGTAAGGAGGTACATATTCAGTCACAAACTCGTAGTTTAACAATAAACCGACTGTGTATGGATTAACTCTCTTTCTGTCAACGACAGCTCCCTCTAGTGGACGAAACTAGTCAAAGTGTCCTGATAGTGAAAAATAAAACAACTGCAGTGTGCTGTTCTCTGGGGTTTCTGTTAAGTTTTTAATAAGAGTCTGTTTCGGAAACAACAACAAAAACGTCTCGACACTTCTTTTCTCTGTCAACATCAAAACACAGAACCTACAACTTTCACTTTTCAAACAGTTTTTAATTAATTGATCTTACAATTGACATGATGTTCCAGAGAATGTTTCTATAAATGTCTGCAATTGAATTCAACCCTTTTAATCAGGCAATTTAATTTTCCCCATTATTAACATTTTACTTAAGAACGCTGTGTAACACAATGTTATTTTATTTTTACTATTTTTTTTAGTCCATATTTTTTATTATTTATGTAAAGAGCTTTACCCTCCAGACCTTTATCATATTACTTCTGCTATCTTTCTGTTATATCTCTACTGTCATTATTCAGCATAAAGCCTGAAAGAGCTTGCCCTCTGATAATTCCCCGTGTAAAGACTGTTCGGTAACTAGAACAGATGCTACAGATATTATGCAAGGTTGTTGCCATGGAAATCTGATCTTTGCATCATGATCTGTAACCTGTCTTGTGTTTAAAGATAAGGCTGCATGGTTTTGATCTAACAGCAGGAGATGGATACAAAGAAAAACTTACATACAACATATATTTAAAACTTTGCAGATAAAAACAAGTGAAGCTCTTTGGGATTCTGCCTGTGTATGACATGCTGACTCACCTAAGGAGAAATTTCACTTGCTTTTTATTCTTACTGTTCATGCTCAGCCTTAAAAACAGCCATATACAGTATGATATTGTGCCCACTCCCTATAAATAAACAAGGCCACATTACAAACGCCCACTTGTGTCTAAGTGGATTACTCTGAGAAAAGCACTTGTTGAGAGAAGACTTGCACAGATGTAAGCGCTCCTTGAAGTGTCTAATCTGGCCAGACTGCAGAGCAGCAGGCGACTGCTAACAAGGGTAACTGCAGATTAAGGTCAGACTGCAGCACAGCAGGCAGACAGGAAGACTAATAAATGCCAAACATCATCAGCATCTTTCAGCCCTGCCAACAAGGGATCCTTGTCCTCTTCACAGTCTTAACACTGATTCATGAGCCTGAGCCTGCAGGATCATTTTCACAGAGATTTCTTTCATTTCTCCTTTAAAAATAAATAAACCAAACAATCTGTGAACACAATGGCACACATATCACACAAGCAGCACAAGCAGTCAGGAAAAAGACTTAAAGTGTGAGGTCACACCCTCAACCTCTCCTCTGTTTGTTAGGTCCAGGTTCAGCTGATCAGCCTGCCAGTGTCTGCAGCCAATCATGTGACACTGAAGTCGGGGCCAGAACATGTGGGACTTCCTGCTGTTCCGAAGCAGAGGAGGGGAGAGGACGGAAAAACACAAACAGCCTGCAGAGCCACTATACAGGAATATACAGTTTTTCTTGGTTGGAGGTCACATTTGGAATGAGTATGATTGTTTATGTTTTTCTTGCTGATGTTTTTTTCTTGAAGAGTGAAATTGTTTGTGCAATCATAACATGTGGAAACTCCATTTTGCTGTCAGGAAAGAAGGTAAGGTCTTTTTCGGCTTGGTTGCACACACATCTTTGTCTCATTAATTCTGAAAATGTTCATGTCTTTGTTTAGTTTGAAGCGTTTAAGATAACAACCCTAAAGATGCTGAGAATAAAATGTGGCAACTTATATATATATATATATATATATATATATATATATATATTCTGGTATGAAAATAACAATGACATTTAAATACAAAACTTACAGTAATCTGTTTTAACACTGTACGTGTAGGTACATAATGAGGTCACATGTGTTTCTCCTGCTTTATGTTTTAGTAGTGTCACTGAAGCTGGAGGAAACAGACCGATGATGGTTGCTAAAGAAATGAGTAGTGAACACATGGTGAGTCTGTAAGCTCTACATGTTCCTCTTCTTCTCATATTCTAATCTTTTCCTATAGTTTTTTTTATAACTGTCCTGAAATTAATTGACAGGTTAGATTTTTTTCCATTATAATTATTTTATGTATGATGTAAGATATTAGTCTCCAACTTTATTACCATATTACCATTTAGTTTTTGCTCTTTTGGATTAAAAATAAAGATATGTGAATAAGATAACTTGTCCTGATGAAGGGCTAGGGCCCTGAACGTCACATGGAGTGATAAATCCATTGAATGTATATTGGAGGAGCTTCTGGTGTGCAGACTTGTAGTCTTCCTTTTGTCTTGGTATATCTTTTTTTTTTGTCCAGCAGCCAATACTCTCTCTGTTTGATATTTTTGAAAAAGCTAACTCTTATCTTTGTCTCTATTGAAATGTTTGCCTGCAGTTAAGTGTAACAGAGCAGATACATTAGCCGTGTCATCAAGAGGATCTCTTTATCGACTCATTTTCCCATTAACCCGACAGGAGACAGAGAGCGAGCCGTGGACAGAGAGCCAGAGTGATGAGGACAGTGATGTGGATGTGGATAGCCTGAGTGGTTCAGATGTAAGATTTTTCTTTTAGGTGGTTAAAATAGGTTTGAGAAAGAATCACATGATATCATACATCATCATATTTGGATCAAGGTTTGGGTTGAGTGTTTCTTCAAATGTAAAACCAGAATATGAACACACTCAATAAACACCTCTAAACTAAAACAAGACCTTAAATCAGATTTCATCTCATTTACTCATACATCTAAATACAATAATTTCTCTGTATCGTTTGTTTGAAGTAATTCAACTTTTCAAAGTTGTTATGAATGCTAAGAGGCTAACAGAGATGTCGTGTTACCTACATTTGAGATTTAAAGTCAGTGTATCTCAGTCATTGTATAAATCTGTGGCCTCCTGCAGTGCTGAGCTGTTTGCTCCATAAGGTAACAGTGGTGTTTTCTCTGCAGGGGAGCTGTGCCACTGAGTGGTATCACCACCACCAGCTGGAAACGGACATAGAGGCAGTCAGGACTTTATATTCAGACTCTGCCATCTCTATCAGGTCTGAACAATTTGGTCTTCTTTGTGACTTTAAGAGGAAAGAAGCACTGCTGCTTTTCTTCATTCATTCTATATTTTCTCTTTTAGGGAGTTTGGGTCGATTGATGATGTGGATGTTGACTTGACTATAAACACAGACGTTTTGGATGTAAGTTGAATCTAAAAATACACTCAGTTACTACAGTGCTTTCATGTTTCTGTTGTGTGACATCCTGCACTGTTTAATGTGATTACATTGTTTGGTGTCTACAGCACGAAGTGGCCGAGGCCTGGAGGATTAATCCATCAGAACCCATCGTCATCCGTCTGCACTTTTCACTGTCTCAGTATCTGGATGGACCTGGTGAGCATCAACAACCCTGTTGCAAACCAAACGTATTACTTCAAAGCTCTTGTGAGGAAACTTTAAGCTAGAGATGAAACAGACTGATGCCTCTATGTGATCCACAAAAGCAAACAACGGCATCAACATTTAGATTGATAATTACAGAATAGTTGTTTTTAATACTTGTAAACACTGCAGTGACCGGTGAGGTATGTGTTGGATGTGTTGGACCGGTGCAGAAACAGCCTGTTTACATTTTCCAAAGTACAGCTTCAAAGTGACTAGTAAATGATAAATGGACTTGAGCTTATATAACGCTTTTCTAGTCTTCAGACTACTCAAAGTGCTTTTACACTGCAGGTAACACCTACCCATTCACACACTGATGGCAGTGGTTGCTATGTAGTGAGACCATCAGAAGTAACTAATCCCATTCATACGCCGCCGACGAAGCAGCAGGAGCAATTTTTTGGTTAAGTGTCTTGCCCAAGGACACAGCGGACATGTTGTTGGAGCTGGGGATTGGACCTTCAACCTTCCGTTTGAGAGTCGACGACTCTACCAACTGAGCCACAGCCGCCAGTAGGACTGGCTTTTTAAAATGAGCAGGAATAGATTGTAAAAACTCTACACATGTACAGGACAGGATGAGCAAAGAGATAAAAGATGTTGCTTTGACCAAAGGGGTGCCAAAATCAACACTTGTTTGAAAGTTCCTCACAGGAACTTTAAGTAACTAGAAAACGATCGTGACATCTCATAGAAGATGTTTCTCACCACAGCACCTTCAGTTGAAGTCTTTCAGCCTTCCAACAAAGATCAATTCAGTCTTGGGAAGCAACTACAGAAGTGAGTATTCTTTTTGATTAGTTTTTCTTAACCCAGGTTGTAGTTGAAGGTTTTAAGCCCTCTTTCTTTGATGGCTAACTCTTATTTTCTGTCCCCCAGTATCCTCACAATATTTCTTTCTCGGGAGTGGAAACATCTGACCAATGAGAACATCGTGGTCCGACGGAAAAGCAGACAAAGCTGGTTCAGGCGAAGTGGAACCATCAAGAAATTCCGAGCAAGACTCAGCATCCGGCTCCCCCCGTCAAAGTATGTTAAACCTTCTGCAGTTTGAATTGTGAATCAAAGTATTCTTGATTCTCCATTCACTTGTTTTATCTCGCACCATGATCAGGTCCGATTATCTTCAGGAATCAGTTGGAGGAAGGATCATTTTACCACCAATGAAACGGAACTGTTTCACCAATCACAAGACTTCCTACAACATCAAGAATCCCACAGGAGAGCTCTTCACCTACACACCCAGTGGAAAGGTGACTTTCCTTCAGCTTCATTAAAGATATAAAGTCTCTGCCTGGTAAGTTCCCTGAGTGTTTAAAAGCAGTACTTGTGTCCTTTCCTTCACAGAGGGTGGCGGTGTCTGCAGTCAAGTCTTCAGCACAGCTGAGCACTAAACAGCTGATCGAGCTGCTTTTCTCGTCACAGGCCATCGGGCACTGTAAGACCACCCCGACTCTGCAGCACGGCTTCTTGGTACAGGTACAGCACAAGAAATCAACAGCTATTACAATGCATGCATTACATGTGTCTGGATGAGAAACTAAAAAGGAACTCCACGCAGGCTTGTTATCCAGTTTGTGATGACATGAAGCGTGGACCAAGTGATCTTTGCTGCACCTTATATCTGTAGTCTGCTCATGCACCATTTTTGGAGTGAAAAAAAAAGACAATAATAGATTAATAGATTTTTTGATAGAATAAAAAGCTTGAGAACGTCTTCTGAGCGGACATAAAGCAGAGTCGTCTAGTTGTATTTTAGAGATTTTCATCAATGACCTTTAGAACCTCAGACCTTAGCGATGACCTCACTGACATCATTATAACACTAAACCATATTGATATTATGTAAGGTTCATTTCAACAATGTAACCATTTTCAACATTTTTATAAAATGGTAAACAAAAATATTCAAGCTATCTTCATATTTATTCATCCCCATAGAAAGAAACTATAACGAGATGTAATGAAAGCAAGAGGGGTGACAAGTGGCTCAGCCTTCAGGGACTTGGCCTGAGTGGACCGAGTATGGAAATTGGGACTTGTTGCTGGAGAGGTGCCAGTTGTTAGTCAAGTTCCTTAAGCAATGCACTGAACTGGGTGCATGTGAAGCCCCAACACTCTGGCACTAATGCATTAGTGACATCTTCCATAACAGAGTGAACATTTTGAAATCCCTCTTCAGGGATTAAGTTAAAAGAGTATAACATGTTGTCGTTGTGTGCACAGATAATGAGGTACGCTGAGCAGAGACTCCCCACGCTGAATGAATACTGTGTGGTCTGTGATGAGCGACATGTGTTTCAGAATGGCCCCATGCTAAAGGTACATGGCTAAAAAGAAATCAATTCAAGAGACTCATCTACTGAAGCGAAACAAAAAAAAAAAGCTGAATGTCAATTAATGTCCCTGTTTTGTGTTGTGCGTATCAAGCCAGCAGTTTGCAGCAGGGAGCTATGTGTGTTTTCTTTTTATACGTTGGGTGTCATGTCTGGAGCTACAGAAGAGGTGGCCACCGGTGCAGAGGTTAGTAACACACATATGCATTTCAAACAAGTCTGGATTATCTTACTATAAGATTATTGTATTTCCATTCTTTCTTATCCACAGGTAGTTGACTTGCTGGTGGCCATGTGCAGAGCTGCTCTTCAATCTTCACGCAAGAGCATCATATTTGAACCGTACCCCTCTGTTGTCGATCCATACAACCCCAAAACTCTGGCCTTCAGTCCTAAGGTATCAGCCAACCTAATTAAACTTGTTACTGAGTTCAGTTAATAAACGGCGTATGAGTTGTTTATTTTTTATTTTGAAGCAATCCTCTTGTTTCTATTGTTGCAGAGAAAGAGCTACGACAGGCTGCAAAAAGCTCTAGACAGCGTTTTGTTAATCAGGAGAATGGCCCAGGTAACTAATATTAAAATACATCTTATCATCATGACACAATTTTCACATTTGGCTTGACATTTTTGAGATTCATTTCAAGCAGATGAACATTTCTTAGATGGACGAAATTGTGTTTTTTATCCCAATCAGGGTCCATATTCTGAAACAAAGAAGCAAATGGATAAAATAGACCCTCTTGCTCATCCCTTGCTGCAATGGTGAGTGATTCAAAACAGCATCTTAATCATAATTCAATTCAATTTAATAAACTTTTCATCAAATCCAGATGTTTCAAAGGTTAATACCCAGATGTGTTTGCATGTCTGATAACAGGATTTTAGCAAGCAACAGATCACACATTGTCAAGCTTCCACTAAACAGGGTATGAAAAAGTAGTTCACAGCTAGAATCTGCTGTCGTATCGTAGCAGCTGCAAATTTGACCTCTATAGCAGTTCATGAATGGCTGTCAAAATAAAGATGATATACCATGTTTTATACTTTTTAATGTAATTGTCGATTTTCTTCCATCTTTTTTTTTTTTTCATCACTTGGTTCACAATAGCAACTTAAGTTCATGCAAACACCCCATCAGTTCCTGCTAATCAGCAGCCCCCCCTCCAAAGAAGCTCGCTTTCAAACTGCCAGGAAACTTTACGGCAGCACCTTTGCTTTCCAGTAAGTGAAATAATCAAAGCTGTGTCCCTTCAACTTAAATAGAAAGTAACATAACATAATTCTGCATGCATTCTACTAAGACACCTGTTCTGTCTTCTGTCAGTGGTTCCCACATTGAAAACTGGCACTCTATTCTGAGAAACGGGCTTGTTAATGCCTCCTATACTAAATTACAGGTAAAACTAATGATCTATTTTGTACTGTCAGAATTTGAAATGAACTGATTTGGTAGTTGGCCTCATGATTTTGTTTTTTTTGCTGTTCAAGCTTCATGGAGCTGCATATGGGAAAGGCATCTATTTGAGTCCCATCTCTGGCATATCATTTGGATATTCAGGTAGGGATGCACAATGTATTTTCTGTCATAATACACTGCATTTAAAAAAAAATACATTCGGTACAAAGATGATGTTTACTTATTGAGTGTGTGCTTTTTTAAAAACAACAGAGATGGGTAAAGGGCAGCACCAAATGCCCTCAAAGGAAGAACTCCTAAAGAGATACAACCAATTAAACCAAAGCAAACAGGTAGGTTTCATCATGTTCATCATGTTTGTCCCAAAGACAGATTTGGTACCGTTATGGCTATTTTAGGATCCTTGCCTTTCACTTACTTTTCTTTACACCCTTAAAAAGGATGTTACCTGAAGCTCGACAACTTAACACCATCATCTGTTCTATTTAGTGTGTCCTGGTCAAAGGTTATTCAGGCCGCTTTGTCAGTTGGTCAGTTGTGTCTCTGGGTTGCCAGTAGTGACCCTAAAGGGTGAAGCTAAAGAATGTAACTTTGGATTCAAGCCAGACATGTTATTAATGTCTAAACAGTTGATGCATGACGGACAAGTGTTGACACATGTATAAAAGAAGCCTAAACTTAGATTCTGAGCGCATTTTGTCAAAGCATTTGTTGGTGTCTGTTTGGTTGATGTGCCCTCTGGCAAGAGTATTAAGAACAATCTACTCTGTCAGTGTCCTTATCTCTCTTGTCTTTTCAGAAATGACCACCTTCTCTTGTTGTTTTGTTTTTATATCTTAGTCTGTATTCTCTCCTTGTCGTACAGGACCAGCCTGTGCAGGCCAGGTTCCTGCAAAACAGGAACTTAAACTGCATCGCTCTCTGTGAAGGTAAATTGGACATACTACATAAATCCTTAAAGAGACTTGGTGACAAGAATAGATTGTAAACATGTTTTAAATAAATCTGCATGTCCTCACAGTGATAACTTCAAAGGACCTTCAAAAGCATGGGAACATTTGGGTGTGTCCAATATCCGACTACGTGTGCACACGTTTCCTGTTTGTGTGAGTAAAACGCAAAGCAGCAGAGACACATGTAACTGCCTGGAAAACCTTTCTGCCTGCCAGCGTGATGTGATGTTTAATGACTTTATATTTTAGATTAATACAATGATGTGCTTTTGTGTTTCTCAGGTATGAGAATGGTCTGGTGGGAGATGTCCAAATCAACACTCAGGAAGCCAGTATCCACAGGGAAATTATACAAGTGATTGCTTCATAGCCGTGCTGAGAAAACCAATAAGCACACTAGTACAGTATATCCACATATTGTGATAAGAACGCGGGTTTAATATGAAAACACAGACTGAGAATATGTTTCTTAATGTCTACACAATGTTTTAATGTTTTGATGAGTGAACATTATAAATTAGCTGCCATTACTGATCCTTTTTTGATAGAAAAAGAAAAGAAAAATTCACAAAATGCTTTTTTAAAAAACTGTTTCAGTAGATATGTGCAGCTATGTGTTTGGTCTTACAACTGTAAAGTTTCTTTGCCTTATACCTTGATCTACAGTGTATTGCATTTTCATTCACAAGACTGATAACTCTTCATTTTAAATATATTTTGTACATTTTTATAACCCCACGTTTTTTTAAATAAAGTTTTACAATATTTGCTAATTTTGCTCACTTTTGATTTTAGTTCAGTTGCCCATAATTCAACAGGCCTCTCTCTTATTTGTGTAATACATTAATTTCACCACTAGATGGAGGTCTAACCAATGCCTATACTTCAAGAGATTTTTCATCGCTAACACAGAGTTAATTAACCCACATAATTGTTTTATTATGGCACTTTTATTTATAAAGGTCGGCCAGTAGTTACTGCTAAAGATGTTTAAAAATGATATAGCATGGTAAACTCGTTTAAAACTAAGGTGGTGCCTTTGTTGTAATCAACACCAGTAAAATGCACAACTCACAGTATGCACCAAAGGTGTCAACTGTCAAAAGAAATCAAGTATTTCATGGAGGAAACATTTTTTGTTTCTTTTCCCAATGTGTCACAGCCATTATCCAAATGCTTGACCGATATTCTAATAAAGGGAAAACATTTAGTTGCCTGCAATTATTGGAGATTAAAATGACTGTCATGGAAAGGAGATGATTCTCTCGGGAACTAACTGTAATTTTCTCTGAGTTGTATCAACTCAGCTGAGAGCCACAGCATTGTGCCCATTGTTCCAGTCAGTGATTATCATGGGGTGAAAACTACCCTGTGATGCAGAAATGCACCATTATTACAGTATACTGGTTCCACATGAGCCCCACAGCTGTCTCTTGAATTCTTCTTCTGCATCTGGATACATATCTTTTTATTGTAAGCTCTTGCTTTATGGATTTATGCAAGTTTGGCATAAACGCAGCAGCCCCAAGGTGTCATTGTCCTCATGAATGTCACTGATTCAAAGGAGGCACAGATGAAGTAGCAGCCTTTTCTGGGTCAGACCAGCAGGCGATGGACTGAAGGGAGGAAAAATGTGAAGTAGCTGAATAGCCCAAAGGAAAGACTTTTCTTGTGGACCATATGGCTCTCTGATGATAGTGCAGAGAGGAAGATGGAAAACCATATACTGCGAGTTTCCAAACTCTATTCTTAATATCTTTGCACCAGTAAGGATGCAAAATCTGCAAAAGGACACATTAAGTATGTCAATAGCCAAAACCAATTTGGCTAAAACAAGGGATTGTTTCAACTGCAATGCCTTGTTAAATATCATTTACTCTCATTATTCATCCATATAATTCATGCAACCACATGGATGAATCAAATCACTAAGCCCTCTAGGGTTTAACAAAAGCTTCTCTCCAAAAACAACAAACTATTATGTGAGATTATTAAATGTTGCATGTGCCTTTAAGAGCACTATGTCCCACTCTACATGTCTCTCTCTGAGCCTCATATGTGTTTGTTGGCATCAGCTGTCCTCAGTGCTGAATTGAGCAAGGACATCTTTTCCCTCACTTCAATGGGATTAGAGGAAGAAATGCCCTCTTCATACTGCCGGCTGTCATGTCAGGGCTCAGGGACTGCCTGGAAAAGCATTATGGACTGAGGACACAAAGAAGATCAAGATAAGTCTCAAGTTTGGATTACAAAGCTGATCAGTTTTTGGATTCTTATTCTAACAAGAAACACGTTTTTGATCTAGGGACCTGAGGGAGATATGCAAGTAATCCGAGGCTGCAGACTCAGAAAAAGCATCCTGCTCTGTTTATTCAATACTTTCTAAGCAATGACTGAACTCAGGGGTCATAGGCAGAGTTCAAATGCTGCAAGCAGCACTGTGATGGAACTTCAGTGTGCGTCATTCAACTTTGATGCCCCATCTTCATCTTCCTCTCCAAAACTTTACCAGGCTGACTTCAGGAGAGTCGATCGCACAGAGGATAGCAATTCCTTTCCGATCCCCGGCCTGGCAGCAGACATTCTGCACATGCGAGTGAAAGAAGGAAGCAAGATCCGCAACTTGCTGAGGTTTGCGACAGCTCGAATGCAAGAGGAGGGAGAAGAGAGAAAAGGGGCATTATTGAGGCAGGTAATCTTTACTGGTTCAGGTAGAGGAGTCACCAAGACCATCACCTGTGTGGAGATTCTGAAGCGTAAAGTGGGAGGGCTACACCAAGTGTCCAAGCTCTATTACAAGACAGCGAGTGATGTCTGGGAGAGTCCACAAACAGGAGCTTCAAGTGTATCCATGCAGAGGACAATTCCTTCCATCTGTATCCTGCTCTCCAAAGATCCTCTGGATCCTCAGGAGCCGGGATACCAACCCCCCGAAACCCCGGGTGTTACCAACGAAGACGCAAAGAGACAAAGAGTTCTGCTCAGGCCAGCTCACAGTCCCTCCTCACACACAGCAAAGAGAGTCTGCCTGCATGACCAGAGTGAATCTTCTCCGCAAACAACCAACGACTTGACTGCAGCACGAGAAAGATTCCAAAATTAACATAAATTATGCTTCAGAGTTTTTTTTTCTCATTGTGTCTTATAATTCTTTGGGGTTTTACTTCAAATTATACATCTGAATATAAACATTTTTGAATGTTCATGTACGCTATAGTGAACAACTGCCTCTGCCTCCAATGGCCAAAATGAAGGACAGTCTCTCAGTTCATATTCACAATCCCATTGTAGCTCACTGATAAATGATAAAAGTATTTGCAGAAATAATATAGTGCATGTTGACATTTTAATGTCTTGCAACTGTCTTTTACTTTCTTTATGAAAAGTATGCCTAATGAAACTGGTCAAAAATGAGTTATGTAATAACAGAGCTCTTATAATTAACAAGATCCAAAAAAGCGCTTGAAAAGCGCAAACATGTTGTACATTCATCCATTCATAATACTGGATCATAGGACCAGAATGCGTTTTTCTTTTTTTAAATTATGATGCTCTCAATTTTTACCTGCACCGTCACTAAAATAAATGTGTGGTTTTTTTTTTTTAAATCAATAAAACTTTGGTGTTTTACAATGTGTGTTTATTTTTCTTTCATTCAAAAAAGGTAGAAATGATCAGACGGATCAGGAAAAACATTTCTGAAGGAGCTGGGGATCGAACTTCTCCTTTCGGTGAACTGGCTCTAGTGAGGAACTGCCTTAACGTAGCACATCAACACCTCTCACCCAATGCAGACTCTCAGCTGTGAACTTTGCTTTTTTTACATCCTTCCATTTGCCATGCACCTTAACTGCCTCTATCTGGTCTCATGCACTACATCACTTTATTCTATCCTTTCTATTTCAGTATTCATCCAGTTCTGGTTACTTTATTCCTGTTGTTTCTTATCCATCATTGCAGTACGGTCACTTTATTTATCTCATTTTTACCTTTACAGTTATATTCTTTATATTAGTTCTGTTGTTCCATTATTCACCATGCACCTTATTAACTTATCATTTAGTATTTGCCTACTTGCACATAGCTCTGTATATATATATTTATTTCTCGTTTACTGCACATAGTTATGGTTACATCTGTCTACATCTGTTAGTCCGATCACTGTCCACTCACATCTACTCTTCTATATTTTGTATTTTGTATTTTTAAGTTAAGTCTAAGCTTTAAGTTGTATTTAAATTGACACTTTATATTTAGGTTAAAATGTTTCGTCTACTTGCACTGTTGTTAAATTACTGCTCTGTGTGCCTTTGGTCCATTTTATGCTGGGGGCAACTCGTTTGAAATAAGGACAGAATATCACCAGTTTTTAAGTCACTCTGGATAGAAGTCAGTATCAATGGAAGCCCATTTCCGCCAGTAAAAAAAATAAAAATGAAAATAATAAAGTCTCATAATTTCATTTTATCTCATCATTATGACTTTTTATCTCATAATTTTGACTTTATATCTCATAATTTTGACTTTTTATCTCATTATTATGACTTTATATTTCATAATTTCGAGTTTTTAATCTCATAATTATGACTTTATTATTTTAATTTGTATTTTTTTTAACTGACATTTTTTTAAATGGGCTTCCATAAGTACCAGAATGTCAACAACAACCATAGACTGTAAGACAACAACCGAAGAAATGTCATTGAGCAGTTTGCACATGCGCAGTATAGTTAGCCTCTCTCGCGTTCGTGACCAAGCTAAGCAAGAAAAGCTTCCTGCATTAATTTCACCGGTTCGTGTAGCTGGCTGCCCCACATCATGTTCCGAGCCGCCGTCCGACTCTCAGTCTCCGGTGTCCGGAGTTTAACCCGCACGCAACCACGGTGCCAAGGTATTTGTCCATTGAGCTTTTCACCTCTGAAGTAATTGTGTAGCTTGTGGAAGTTTCAGGGCGGAAATCAAGTGTGGCACATTGCTAAGCTAGCCAGCCACTTCAACTATCCATTTAATTACATGCCGCACTGTAACTACTATTTTATACAGTCAGATTGTGTGTTTCTCTGTTTAATACTGCCATTCCCTGCATGTACGTGTTGTCTGCTACTCAATAAATGTCACAGTGTTAAGCATGGAGGTGTCTGTGTCCTTGTCGTGACCCAGTTAGCAGGCTGTGTCTGAGGCCCTGTGGTTCTTCTGCTGATGTTAGCCCCTAATGCTAATGTGCTAACTAGGGTTAGTGATGGTGTTTTAGCCCTCAGGTCCTTAGTTATCTTGACAACCAAGAATTATTTTATCCAGGCATCACTATGATGATGATATCTGTCTCTGCATACTGTAATCTGTTCTGCACATGTTAAATTTACAAATGATCCCTGCACTCATGTTCACTTCATTTGTCTGTCTACTCACCCTTATATTGAATAGTTTCTGCTTATTATATGTCTACACTCATGCTCTTTAACTTATGTCAATACTGTCCATTTACAACTCTGTTTCTGCACATTTACATTTAATATTTCATATTTAATTTACAACCATTTACAACTCTGTTTTTGCACATTTACATTTAATCTTCCATATTTAATCTTCCTATTTAAGTCTAGTAATGCTTAGTTAAATCCTGGTTGTATATATTCACATTCTTATTTTTGATATTTTTAGTGTTTATTTACTTTGTAGTTAATATTATATAGTGTTTAGATTTGCTAACATTGTGTTTTTTTTACTCATTGTGTGTTTGGATAACCTGCTGCACAATTTCCCAGTTTGGGATCAATAAAGTAATTCTATTTACTAAGCAGTAAACACACGTTACTCTGTTGTAATGATCATTGGGCTAAACGTTACCAACGCTACAATGCCATTTGTCAAGTATTTTAAATAAACTGGTTATTATTTATGACCAAATGAACCACGAGGACCAAAGTATAAATAGACACTTAAAGGTTGTTTGCATGAGGGTGTTCAGCTGATTCAGTGTGTAGGTCATGTCAGGACGTCTGCAGATGCATTACATTACTAGACAGCAGCATTTGTCCTCTTTCCATTTACCTCAGTGAAGATTTCCTTGAACTTGTTTGCACTGCTAAATCACCTGGTGCTGTGCGTCACACTGTGTTATTTAAACTTTGGAAGACTTTCTTACTAAAAAAAAAAATTGTTTTTTATTATTCAGCTGCTCTGACCTCAAGGTGTTATTCACATGGGAAACAAGAGACAGATGAGGAGTTTGACGCCCGCTGGGTCACCTATTTTAACAAGCCAGACATTGACGCATGGGAGCTGAGAAAAGGTATGTTATGGATGATTTTATAAACTATATAAAATAATAAAATGTTGTGCCAATTTAAAAGTTCAACCGTTTCTGCAGTGTTATTATAAGAAAGTTGCTTTGACTAGTATTGTATGTTAAAGCTGAAACTAAAGTCAGTAAAATAACCAATTATTGATAACATATGATTTAAAGTTTAAACTTATTGTGCTATTTGTTTATTATGATACCCATTAGCCTTGGCACATGGCCGCTGCTACTCTTCCTGGGGTCTGCAACATAATTATGACAGATTAAATAGAAACATTCCTACGAAAATATTAAGAATTAGAAGCTTTAATACAAGCATGATTGTAATTATATATTAAGATGTTTTGTTTGATTTACTACGTAGTTCTTTAAGTTTGTAAAATTGCAAAAACAAATTTACAAAGTTTGGTTTAAAACATGCCAAATTCTATTATCATCATATTAAGAGATTTTTTTTTGAAAGGGCGATTTATTGACCTGTAAGTAAATGAGACTCCTGTTGGGTTTCCATGTCGATAAAACATTTAATGAGATTATTGTCCCAAATGAACATTTGATACTAGGTACTTTGGATGCTAACATACCACATCTATCTTAGTTGATTGTTTTTTAGCATTTAAGATTGTCAAGGTTTAAATAGTAATCTCTATTAATGCAGTGACACATTTTTATCACCACCATCACTATACCAACATTTCCACAAGAATTAATGTAAGTAAGTTCCTTGCTGATTGGATTAAGTGCATGCATGCAGCATAACTGCAAGATTGCCAGTTCATATTAGTTTTATATCAGTGTTATATATTTTTACTTTCAAATAATTCCCTAAAAAGGCCAACACCAGTAAAATGTTAGATTGTCACCCTTCCTGTTTTTCAGCTGTAATACTCATTGGTTCCCATTGAAGTCATAAACCTTTTTCAAACAGGCTAGAAATATCATTGTATCGATGTTGTTACGGAATCAACAATTTCCACTTGCTTCTGGAAACTGTCGTTTTATCAAACATCACTGAAGAAAGTAAAGCTGTTATTGGAAGCTATTTTCAGCTGTGGTTTAGACATTTGCTCACATGCACCAGAGTATTTTTGGCTCTAAGATGGTGTGTGTCAGATCAACTCTGAATGAACTACAGAACATGTGTTTGTGAAGGAACAGGTCACTGAGTGTCTATCTCCAGAGCGTTAAGGTCTGTCAAACAGCTACCAGGCGGCAGATAATTCTGCACAGAAGAAGTTTTTATGTGTAACAGGTTATTGTTTGTATTGACCTTTTCTGGGGTGTTGCCTACAGGCAAAGTATAAAATAACACCAGCCCTATTGTTTAGGCAACTAACAAATGAAATGAAATAGTAGAAGTGCTGATTGTTTTTAATTCTTTCAGGGATGAACACACTGATTGGTTATGATCTGGTACCTGAGCCAAAGATTCTTGAGGCGGCACTGAAAGCCTGTCGGAGGTTAAACGACTTGGCCACTGCCATCCGGATTTTGGAAGCAGTGAAGGTGAGTAAAGAAAGACAGCATCTCAGTTTGAGATAATCCTAGGAAGAACATTACCAATCAGTATCATTTATTGTGGATGTCAAAGGATTTAAAAAAATCGATTTTACCATCTGTTTTATTCTCAGGACAAAGCTGGCTCTCATAAAGAAATCTACCCGTATCTAATCCAAGAGCTAAAACCAACGTTAGAAGACCTTGGCATCTCTACACCTGAGGACCTCGGCATTGATAAAGTGTAGAGTAGGTATCTAAATCCACTGCTAAATCATGTGGTTTATTATTTATTTTAAAGATGGAAATCTGACTGTATTTTTGTTTGTTTCAGATCTGACAACGATCGGCATCATCAGGATCCAGAACCCTTGTACTTTAATGTTTGCCTCATCTAATATGTGTGATATTTAATTTGGCCTTTATTGAGTTCTTTTGCTTGTAAAATATTGATGAACCTAATAAAGGAAAATGTATGGTTATTGAGAGTCACAAGTATTTTGGGATAATTGGAATTCTTTGAGTACTTAAGGGAGAGCTAGAGCAGAGTGTTGCATGTTATCTGAGTGTGTGGTCCTTCTTGTGTGAGCCACTTTTCGCCACAAGGGAGCAGCGTTTTCATGTGAATGTAAAAGACATTCTTGTGGTTGCAATCTTCATTACATCTGTTTTCATTTCAGGGACAATTTTCATGCTGATTCAATAAACTTTTACAATTGTGAAGTGGTCTTCGTTATTGTCAGAAAAAAATGAATATTGACCAAAATATGAGTAATAATGTTTATTTTTCAATAAATGGTGTTACAATAGCACTTATTACAGGACTATGGATTAACTGTATAATGTGAATCTTTGCATTTTTCAAAGCAAAGTGAATGATAAGTTTGTTGGGACTGAGCAGAAAATACTATTTAAGTTCTAAAATTTAAAAAATCAAGTGTACAGCCAATCAGCCTACTGTGCAAAGTAAATGTGCAATACTGATCTGTTCACAACAATTTATTTTTTTCTTTAAAAAAAAGACAATTTACCTTTTGTCAAAAACATTTCACATCACTGTTTGTTCGACCTCCCCATTCATTAAAGTAAACCAGTTAAACTAAGCAACATATGTGCATATCCTTGTTAACTTGAAGAAAAACAAGAGCTCCTGTTACAAGATCTCTGACTTGGTTTACGCAGGTTTGGTGACTTCAGATGTATTTGACTAAAACAAGCATTTTAAATCTCAATTAACATTTTTGTCTAATTTGCTTTTAGAGAGATGCATCTTGAGCTTGATATAAACTTTTTGTCAACATAATTTTAAGAGTTTAGGAAAAGCAATTATCATGAAAAAAAAAGATCTCTGATACTTTCACAGGAGGGCTTGGTTTGTTTAAAATAGAAGCACATGAGTGCTGAATTACAGTTAAAATCAACTTGCTCTGTCTCTTTAATAAGTACCAATAAATACTAAAGTGTAACAGGGACATAGATCTATTAAAGACACTGAATATAAAGACATAAAGATGGACTATTTGGGGGGAAAAGTAAACTACACTTTCACTTCAGATAGATGACCTTTCTACTTTCATATCAGTTGTTCTGTGTGTTTTCAAGTTCGACTTATAGCTAGAATAGTTAGGTATCTTTTAACTGTGAAGTTGAACTAATGCAAGTAACATCTTTGTGTAAAGGTTAAACCAAGTTCCAGTGTGAAAGAGTCAGCGTCAGTCCAGATTCTTAGACTCAAATGCATTTGGTTGTATTTTTAGTAGAGGTCGTGTTGCCTTCACTGTATTGGGTAATATCAGTGGGTGGGATTTCCTGCTGAAGAGGGTGGGTAGTTCCACAGATGTAGGCAAGAAAAGCCCACTTTACGAGCTTTACGCACGGGGCGGGCCCTTCATTCATCCAAGTTGGGGGTGTAGGCCACTCAGTCAAAGACAATCAAACATGTTTGAGTTTCCATGCGCGGTGACCAGGGAGGTAAAGAGCTGAGTAACATTACCCCTCCTCCAGCCTCAGCTCTACAGGGTGTTTTTTTTTTTTTTTTTTTAAATTCTCATTCGATCACAAGAATCGTTTCTGTTTAAAAAACGAAACGAATTGGTCATGCGATGTGATTTATTTCTGCCGGAGGAAAAAAGGAAAAACTAGATAAGACCTGTTGGCGATGATGGATTACTCGAAGGCGCAAATGGTGAGTGTCGACGACTAGCACTCGTGTTTGTTACAGTAACAAAGCGAATCACCGATAATGAAGACATAAGCAGCAACAATTCAGCGAACAGTTCGTCGATCACTTGCCGAATAGCGTCTTTATTTATATGATGGTGGTTTTTCGTTATTAACCTATGCTCTAAACTTACTTTAATCCGCACTGCTAATGAAATAAATGTAATTCAAAAATAGTGAAACTGAAGAAAATGTAAAAAAAAATATTTCTCAAAAGTCCAAGTCGCGTTTAGCAGAGCGAAGACAAAGAAACTTAAATGAGGAACACTTGTTTCCTGCTACTAATTAAATCAGATTTTTTTCCCCCTGTTGATAATTGTCTGAAGTCATCAGCGTTGTTTCCCTTTAAACACCATCAACGTGTTTCTGGGGCCCTCTCAGCCCCCCTTTTCAACACGTTTCACATAAACTCTTATTGGATTGTTAAACTAAAAAACGATACAAATTCCATAACTTTATCTACACAATATATCCAGAATCTAAACAAGAATTTGATGAATGTTAATCTGCCTCTTCACACCCCCCCCCCCCTTCTTTGGAAACCAAAACTCAAAGTCAAACTGAAACTGTTGTAAATATTGAAACCTCTTTATTACGTTTCCTTGATTTTCTTAATTTGTTTTTTTTTTGTCGGTTCTTAGTCAAGCTTGTCAGAGGAGGGCAGTTCAGCTGGGAGTCCACAATTCAGTCCTGCAGGAGTGAAGCTGGAGGCCATGATGGAGCAGCTACAGCGACAACAAGGGGCCAAACTGGAGATGAACCTGCAGGAGAAACATCTTCTGCAGGCCCAGCTCCTGTTCGCTCAACATGCTGCTGCTGCTGCAGCCAGGGCCTCCGGATCCAGACTAGATGCAGCCTTATTCGGCAAAGCCGATGGACAGACTTACCAAGCAGCTCAACAAGCTTTCAACCACCATCTCAGCGGAACCACTCCAGATGGCGAAGATGAAAACTCAGATGAGGAGGAGCAGGAAATGGTGGAGCACGAGGAGAATGATGATGTGGACGAAGACTCTGAGGATGAGGAGGAGGAGGAGGAGGAGGAGAAGAACGGGCCTCTCCAGCAGGCAAAGAAGGCCAGACTCCAGCAGGCTCCAGGCTTCCCCTTCCCTCCTTATTCTACACCTCAGACTTGTGCTGTGAAGTCTGAATCTCCTCCTTCAGCCATAAAACAGGAGCATGAAGAGAAGGAGGTGATGTCTCCCACAGGCCATCAAGCCTTCTCATCACCCAGCGGCATCTCAGACTGGAGCTTTGAAGAATCTTTCAAACAAGTAAGTTAACTTCGGGCCCGTATTTTATTTCTAAAGATGGTGATGTTTATTTCCCATAAATTACAGACAACAGTTTTAATAACTATTTAAGAGAGACCTCACAAGATGTTGTCCGAGATAATGTTAACTCACTCCCCTGTACACTGACTATCAGCAGACCTTTGTTTGTATTAGTAGCTTATTTAACCCTTTCAAGACTTTTAACCCAGGCTGTTATCAGAGGAAATGCGGGAGAGGCAAATGCTTCATTGTGTAGACCGAAACAATAACATTGTGTCGACCGAAACAATAACATACTTCACTCTAAAAGATGAATTGTTAACACATTCGATTCCCTGGTATTACATGTCCAACAGAGTAAAAGTAAATGTTCCCTTTGCACTTAATGTTTTTTTTAAATGTGGCCCTCCTAAAAATATGAATTGAATGAACATTTCTTATAAATCTAGATTGAGAGAAAAGATTTGGCTCTTTCCTTTTATGTGTTGCCCCTCTATTATTATCAATTGCTGACTTCCTGCTGAAAGTCAGGATCACCACTACTCGGACCGCCCGCCTGTTTTCTCACATGTCGAGTAAAAAGGAGCGTGTCCCTTTTGGCAAGATGCCCATACTTCGCGTTTGATTCCCGGCCGGGCTAGAGATCTCTCCTCCTGCCCTACCTCACCTCATGTCTCACGCTTTAAAAAAACACATTCTTACCACCACCAGCCAAGCTAATTGGTCTTGGACAAGGTCCAAGCCTTAAGTGTTCAAAGCGACCAGTTCATGCCTGATAGACGTGGGGTTAAAATGAGAGCAGAGGATTAATGAAGTGGCCATAAGCGTGTGTATTCATGCTCAGTGCTGGCTTTTACTGTAAGGATTTGCATTCAGACTTTTGTCCTACTCTATCAGCCAGATTTCCTTCAGTGTGTTTTTCCAGCAGATATGTATCACTACTTTGTTGAAACAGAGGGACCCCTCATGTTTTTTTCTTCTTCTTTTATGGAGTCCAATCTGATTGGCTCTTCAGTGTGTATGTTTCCCTCTAGAAGGCCCCATTTCAGTACAATACATTATGATTAATGAGGCCTGTGGGCAGAGGGACAGCTGGGTTGTAGTGCCTCACAGCATACCAGCAAGCAAATACCCATAAAGTTGACTAAGTGTAGTTTATGAGGTATAGTATTAGCTTTTTTTGTTTGATATCAGAAAATTAAACATCGCTTGATCATAGTTTAGAGATATTTGATATTTACTTTGACTCTGTTTCCTAAGTTTTAGTAGAAGTTATTCACATGGAGTAAAAAGGTACTGTTTCTCTTCATGAACATTATTGCTACTGTTTTTTTTTTTCAAGCCTCCACAGACACAGTTATTCATTGCTGACGTAGGTTTAGCTCACCGGATAGCTTTGCATAATTTAGTGGTCGCTTAGCAACACTAAATGGCAGCTTAATTCAGCTGCAAGTAATCAATACATTATATGGCCACTGCAGTGAGGATGCATTTCCTGTTCTTAGTCTTGCACAAAACAACACCGGGGACAATGAAGGAAATTTCTTCTTTAGTAAAAGAACAGCAATGAGTTGTCCTGCTAGAAGTTGTAGAATGACTAAGATGTGTGTAAAATGGTTACGATGTGGAAACGTGCAGATAACATCTTGATATTCTGTTAGACCAAAGGTTAATGCAAGGTTTGTTGTGTCTCTTTTGTGTAAAGACCTTTATAAATTTATCACATAAAAATAGGATGCTGTTTAAATTACTAACAAGTAAGAGGAGGCATTTTTTTTTGTTGACATTTTTACTTCATAATTTTATTTATTTAGTACATTAAAAAAACAGAAATAAATACATAAAACCTTTATAAAAAAAAACTCGAAAGAAAACTGTAGAATACACCAAACACTTATCAAAGTCTTTAAAGCACACATTACAGTAATAAAGAATAAGAGGAACACAGAGACGTGTATCCTGAGGTTTCTTTTAATCATGCTTTGTTGAAATAGTATGTTTATGGTTTCCCTTTTTTGTTTCTCCCACTACTACTACTTAACTTTTTGAATTATTTCATCAAACTTCTGTGAAGACCTGCAACGAAGTATCAGCGTCTCCATTGTTCTCCTTATGTGTACAGTGCAACTGTACGTCCTTAAATGTGACATGGGCGGGGATGAAAAGCCCGCTGCATTGTCCTCAGACAGGCTGCTCAAAGCACAGCGAGGGGCCGGATAAATGATCTTGACTTGTTCGGGTGACTAAAGGCTCAATAATTTGATTTGGATTAAATTTTTTGTCCCCCCCTGCAGTTACATTGAAACTTTGAGAGGGATTAGTTTTCACTGCTGCTCTGCTGGAGCGGCTGGATTAATTTAATGAAGCTCATTATCGAACGAAAGTTTCTGGATAGTGTTTGTGTGATTTGTTTTTAATGAAGAGTCATTTATGATCCCCACTGGTTGAACAGACACACTCATACAGAACAACTTTGTGTCTGCATGCCATAACACTCTTTTTTTTGTTATTTGAATATGTTAAATAATGTAAAAGGCCAATAAAAGCTGGCCTTTTTCAACAAAACAAAAGAAACCTTTTCCTGACCTACATACTGAATACTATCAGGATTCCCACGGCTGCATGTGTGAAAACTGTGAGCAATTAACTGAAAGCTCTTTGTTAATAGATCCACAGTAGGTCTCACTTGCTCATCAATAAGGGGGGAAGGGTTTTATTCCCATTTGATGATGAAAAGACTTGGATGTTTATCTACCTTCACGTCAATAAGCTTCTGGTGGGGGAGTAGAAGTCTTTTATTAGAAATTCTCGGCTGAGGCCAGCAGATGTGTCACGGCTGAGTCGCATCAGGGGCAGAGTTTTCAGTGAAGAGTGAATACATACAGTCACAGTGTCTTTTTAAGAACGTGAAGACAGAGGAATAGCTTTTATATGCTTCAAGGGGTCGAATGTGTGTTTACAAGGGTCCATTTGAATTTAGATATCCAAACCACGGATATGTTTAACACAAGGTTTAGAAAGTTCCCAAAGTAGCAGAGTTTATGTAAAAAAACAGAAATTAATGTCTGATTTTAATAAGAAATGTACCGTCATATTTGGGCAACTTAAGCTGTGTTGCGATTAAGAGTGTGAACTAGCAAGTGACTTTATTAGTCCCAATTATTAATGAACAAATAGTTAGCTGAAATATTGTGTGTGTTAGCTAACAGTGAGCTGAATTTGACAGGAAAAGATCAACTGTTACAATCGGCAAAAGATAGAACTAATAAAGTTTGATAAAATTTATGAAAAATGGTTTATGTGTAAAAGAAATGGATAATGGACATTACTTAGCTAAAAGATATCACAAAGATAGCTTTAGTTAGCTTAATTTCGCAACATATTTGTTCAAATGTGGAACTATTTAGGGGCGCTGGTTGGCCTACTTAACTGGTTTCCTGCAATATATACACTGTCCTAGTAAGTAAATAAAGACATTAAAGCCCAAAGATAAATCTAGAAAAAGTTACTAATAGGCTTAGATGAGGGTAATGACAAATGGTTTGAATGTCTTTGTGAAAGTAATGGATAAAATGGTTGAACAAGTTAGCTTAAAACGATCAGAAAGATAGATAAAAGTTAGTTACACGTGTTGACTTCAATTAAGATATTTATGTTTTGAATATGCTAAAGGTTCAACTTTGCTAATGCAATGACCAATGATTAGAATATCTATGTTAAAGTAATGATTAAAGTAATGTTAAATGAGTTAGCTAAGAGTAAGGTCGCTAAAAAGGTCGACTGGAACTGTTTAATGGTTAAGGCTAATGCACGTTTGTTAAACGTAAAGGAAATAGCTAGAATAGCTTTCTAAAAGCAAAATATTAAGCGTAACTTGCTAGTATTAGCCTAAATTGAAATGATCAATGGTTGAAATTGTTAAATAAAAGTTATGGATAAATGTTGAGGATGACTGTGTAGCAATATTGGGTAAACTTAAATATTGTTCAGCATCTGCCACTAGAAGACTAAAGTTTAATAAACTATATTTACATTTTCTCAGAACGCTTTAGTTCAAAAATAATGCCCAGTTTTGAAATCACAATGACCTTTGATAGTACTCGGACAACACAGGTTGGAAAACCCAGTGTTGTGCATCGTGCAGCTGTGTGTTCATGTCAGCATTTGCCGTTTGAATTGTGTTTTTGTTGTAAACATGAGGAGCTGAACAGTTGGAGTGGGGGCCATCAAATTATTAGTTCCCATGTCTTTTACTGCTCAGAGAGTGAAATGCTTTTTTTGTTGTTGTTGTAAGATCAGATTAAGTTTCCATACCAAACATTAAGCAAGTGGGCTAATATGTAAAAGTACAAACTGGTAGCCTACTGTAAAATGCAGAGTTTAGGAAAAAAATGTCATGGGGGAAGAGTAATGTTTAGACAAACGACAAGAAATGTAATTGAAGCATTGGATTGTGTCAAATACATAAGCATGTTTGTTGTCTTAAAGAGACATGCTTGTTTTGACATGAAACAATAGCACAGCTTATTGCATGTTCCAAAGTCTCTCACGACAACACTAAGAAAATGAGTGGGAAAGAAATAGAGCAATAAAATAATTGAATGTCACAGGGTAAATCTGGATAGGAGGGATATTTGATTTATAAAAAATCCTTTCTGTAATGTCATTATACGGACAGAGCATTCTGGAGACGAGCGGCATAGTGCAGCTCTGGGGATCCATTAGCAAGACAATAACCGCTCAGCAGGCTTTTCCACACAGTTGCACACACACTGCCCTTCTCTCACATTTTTAACCTCTAACTGTCATGTTAAGGGGGAGGCCATGGAGGAATAACATGTCTTAATAAACTATCTAATGAGCAACAGGGCCTTTGGTAGATCTCCCTTTTACACTGACCATCTTTAAACTGATACTCCCTATAGAAAAATGTGCTTATATGTATACACAGCAGTGCAGCATTGCAGGGAAACAGATGCTCACAGTGACCAGCTGTTCAAACTCTCAGTTGTGTAAAATAAAAGCAGGTTTAGATACAGGAGGGGGAAGGCCAAATCTGTAGAAAGAAGCTTTGAATAAATATTATCACATTCATTCCACAGTTAGATTTTTTGATCACTTTTTATTTCTTCTGTATCTGAATATTTTGTTTTTTGTAAATTTCTCAGGTTACACTTTCCTGTGTCACATGTACTCTCATTTATCGTCTGAAATCAGCTGTTTTAAATTATTTCTTAGATTTGTCAGTGTTTTTGCCACACTGTAACTATTAAATGACAAATTCTTTTCACATAAAAATATAATTTGTTACTGATATTCTCTTTTCTTGTGTGTCTTTACAGAGAGGGGGTGCCGCCTGGCCTGAGGACAATGATGTAGGAAAAATAAGAGGAGAGCCATCCAGGGACTTTGCCAAGGTCTTATAGATTTTCTCTATTTTTATTTTGCTCACAAATATTTCTGATTTGATAGCAGAGTGACAGTTTACAGTCTTGTTGCTGATGGGTCTTTTTTTTCCCCAACCTTCAGCTCTATGAACTAGATAACGACCCACAAAGGAAGGAGTTTCTTGATCAACTCTTTGTCTTCATGCAAAAACGAGGTGAGAATAAGAGCCGGAGCCTTCTAACTTCAAAAGTCCTTTAGTTCAGTAACCAAGGGAGATTTTCTTGGTCATTCCTTGGTCTTGGTGAAGTTTTAATTAATAATAGCAGTAATTCAACTGCTATTTAATGAGGATCAGGCTTAATATACCTTATATAAATCCCTTTTGTAATGTTTCTGTGTAGGATTACATAAAAATGCAATATTATCTTTTCACCACTCTGAAGTCTCATGAATTCTCTTTTCACATACCGTTTTTGGCATTTTTCAACAACCCTAGTGCAACCACTTATTACAAAAACGTTTTCAATATTATAATACCGGAAGATTTTATACCGATTAAAGATAAATACATTAAAAGGTTCAAAATGCCATGTTACTTTTTAAAAATGACTTTTTTTTAGTGTGCCCTTTTTGTTTTTGGTGGATGTTAAATTTAAGTAAGAGACTGACATAGTATTATCAATTATTAAAAAGGGATTCCTTATTTCTTAACCCATTGCATTGTAACAAATTTTAAGCTCTACAGGCCTAAAACTAATCCTGCAAAGTATGTCAGTCAAAGTAAAGAATCATTTTGATTTAAGTGTTTTTGTAAATGGGATTTAAAGTGGCTTTAATCCACATTACTCTTTTTTTCAAATCCTAAATACACTTTGATTAAAAAAACAGCAATTTTATCAATTAAAGTGCAGTTACAGGCCTAACAGTAAACCTCAGCACTCAACAATCTCAACTCCTGGGTGCAATCGTCATGCCCATGCCAAATGTCTGTGTGCGTGTCTGTGTTGTGTGTTAATCTTAATCACAAAGTAATCTTATTGCTCTGACTACTTTTTACCCTCCTTCATTAATTGCCTTTAGTCCAAATGGGGATTGTAAGGGTGAGCTGTCAACCCTGTGATTGGCAAACACTGCTGCCTCTAAAATCACCCCTCCCCCCTGCGCTCAAATCAATACAGAGTTGTAGTGGAATTACCCTCAGCACCACCCCCACCCCCACCCCAACCATGTGAAATAAGCTTCATTAGAGATCCACATAGGTAATATGGCTTAGCATGCCCTTTACAGTGATTTCACTAGACCACCATTTCTTCTTCTAAACTTTTCAGGATTATAATTCTGAGTAAATGAATAATTAGTATTTTTGTTCTTCATTCGTTTAGGAACTCCTGTGAACCGCATTCCCATCATGGCCAAGCAGGTGCTGGACCTGTACCGGCTTTATAAGCTCGTGACAGAGAAGGGAGGCCTGGTGGAGGTTATTAACAAGAAGATCTGGAGGGAGATCACCAAAGGACTCAACCTCCCCACATCCATCACCAGTGCAGCCTTCACCCTCCGCACCCAGTAGGTGTCTCTCTCTCTGTTTAGGAGTTGAAAAGTTTGAAGAAGTTACACAATATTTGTGTTTAAATGGAAAAACAATTGTCAAAGGACAAAGTTGTACAAGCTTTAAGTGCCAACCAGTAAGGTGATTTTGTTCTCCCTACATTACTAGTTAATCATGGGCCCTATTGTAATTTTCTTTGTACATATAAAGAAATAATTCAAATGTGTATTACAACAACAATCCTAAGTGGTTGCTTTGATAAATTGGAGGTAAATAAAAAGTGCTCAAAGTGAACAGGTAGAGTATCCGATGATGTAACTGGTGATTTAAATGTTCACGTTTTATCCAGGTTGTATTCACATATCAAACTGTACCTGTTTGAACCAGCACATGTGACTCAAATGAGACTTTTCCTTGGCAGGTATATGAAGTACCTCTACTCATTCGAGTGTGAGAAGAAGGGCCTGAGTTCTCCAGGTGAGCTGCAGGCCGCCATCGACAGTAATAGAAGAGAAGGCCGACGTCCCAGCTACACTACGAGCCTGTATCGCTATACCCCCTCCCCAAGCTCTGCCCCACACCCCCTCCTCTCCACACCCCCCATGCAGACCACCCCGACTGGGCACAATGGCCTGACGGGGTCTGCTAGCCCAATCCTGAAGAGACACACAGGTATTGCAGAGTCTGTAGTGTGTTAAAATGTGATGAGCATGGTGCCCTCTGATTTGAGATATTGTACATTTGAAATGATTTCTCTTGTCTTTAACAAAACCTGATGGTACTTGGATTGCATTTTAAAACGTTTTTAAACCATTTTGAATTTCAGCTTGGTTTGTACAAAGCTCATCATCTGCCACCCAGCAGCCATTTACTGTGGCTGCCCTGTGGTTCAGTGAGGAATAAAAGAACTTGTGACCTCTAGTGGTCGTCATAATGCAGTGTTTCCATAAAGGAGAGGATTCTTTTTCAGTATGTTTATGAACTGTTACTAATGTATTTTAAATGATTTTTTTCTTTGTGCAATTCTTCTGGTTTCGTGACATCTCTAAAATTACTTTGACTTCTCTTTTCATCTAACCAGATGAGACCTCGACTCCTGTCTTACCCAGCCGGCTGCCCATGGCTCTGGCACTGCATCAGCAGCAGCAGCAGCAGCTGGCTCAAGCTGCTGCGATGGAGCATTTGAAAGAGAGGAGGGAGCGAGCGGCAGCTGACGGTCCAGAGAAGAAGATGATGCAGTTGGCAGAGGAGCAGCAGCGCCTCATGCAGCAGGCTCTCCAACAAAACCTGCTGGCTTTTGCCTCCCAGTTCAACCCCATGAACCTCAAACTCAACAATGGCCATGGTGAGCTGCCTTAGCTGTTTGGTGTGACCCATCTATTCATTACTTAATAACATGATTTGAGGAGAGTCCATTAATTGGAGTATTTTCTTGTTTTTCTCACAGAAAGCAAACAGGATTTATCTCTGAGTATCTCCACTAATGGAGCAGCCAGTATCAGTGTTTCAGTGGAGGTCAATGGCACTATTTACTCCGGTAAGTGGTTGGATTAGATTGTCTTTGTTCTATAAGTTTCCAATGAAGTGAAAGAGGAAATACATATTTCAATTGCACATGTAGAATTGAAATACTATTTTACGCGAGTGTGGACTTGACTTTTTACTTTATGATATAAGCACAACGAGAATCTAAATGAACTCAGTTACACATCTAACACCAGTTTAAAAAAATATCAGTGTTTGATATGTTTTCTTAAGGAGATGCTCAATCACAGTCTCCTATATGTGTTGAGTGTAAGTCTGGAGGGGGCATATCTAGCTTTGTAGTGTTTTATGTTCCTGAAGTCTACTGTTCCCAACCTTCATTTTCTTTTTAAATGATGCATTAAGTAGACTAGGACTGCATCTAACTATTTTCACTATTGATTAATATCCAAACAGTTTTTGTTTTTACCATTCAAACCACATTTTAAAGGCCCAGCGACGCTCATTCTGTTACCGTTTGTGGTACAAAGATTTCTCTTGCCATTCTCTCACAATGTAAGCAAACAAAGAATCCTCCTGGAATTAACTTAATTTAACATAAAGGGTTGAAAACAGCCGGACTGTCCTCTGACAAGGTAAAGTATCTTCCTACCAGCACCTCTTAACAATGTTATATATTGTTACATTTAATTTTTAAGCTAACCTAAAAGTAAAAACTACATCTTGAGGTGTTACAGGGGGGGATTAAGTTTATTGACTTAGAGTCGTGTCAACCATTTGTTACAAACAGACCAGAAATAATTTTTTAATGAATGAGATTAGAGGTGCTGGTAGGCAGATTTGTTACCTCATGACAGAGCCATGCTGGCCTAATGGCTCTAGCTTTATAGAGTGCCAACATCGGAGAAGTAATGATCTTCTAATCTAACTCCTGGCAAAATAAAACAAATAGATTCAGAACATTTCCAGAATGATCGCCCTGATATTGTTGTATTGACTCTACTTTGTAACAGTTGTTTCATGGTGTGCACTGCAGTGCTGAATTATTTTGCTCTTTTGTAAACCAGTACATGATGGCAATAAGATCCATCCCTTTACTTTGTTAAACATGCCAAATTAGTCATATGATAAGTGTTTTTCAATGCTATCTGTATTAGAGATGTGATTCTTTCGGATTAATCGCAATCCCAGATTCTCGGACCTAAAGAGGTGACAAACATGAATTGTGGCTATCTGTAAAAACACATTTTTAATGAAGTGTTCTCTGTGTCTGCTTTACAGGAAAGCTGTTTGCCCAGAAGTCGGCTTCTCCCGTGGTGTCTCAGGCTGTAACTATGGCAGGAACCAGCGGCTTCAGTGCCCTCTCCTCCTCTCATAGTCCATTGTCTTCATCATCCACCTCTTCAAAGGGACCAAATTAGGACTCCTTGGTGTTTAGATTGGTTCTGAGCAAAAATGAAAACACAATATACCTCTCATGTCAGAAAGTACTGTATGAAGTCTTTGGAAAACCAACCGCAATTTATTTTTTCTAACATTACCTCAGCTGTGTAGTATGCCTAAATGGACTCCTCAGAAGTTTCCTAATTGACTGTAATGTCGTTTCAGATTTCGAGTAACCCGTAGTGCCTGTTGGCAGCAGAAATGTAGAGGCATTCATGTATAAAGGGCTTTACAGAGTTTGTCCAAAAGTGTCTTCAAAAGGGGAAGTGCTCAATGACGACCAATACTTAGCCCCTTCTGTTGTCACTTACATTTATCATTATTTACAGTAGCTTCCTTTTTTAATAGTAGAACAACAATGTTGCCAAAGTGCAGCTGACAAGACCAAAAAGCCTTAGCTTAGTGTCACAGTTCATGTCTGTGACCAGTTTGGAAGGATTTTGTACTTCTCTTGGTAATCGTTTGAGTTAAAGCTCGTAGTTTAAACTTTTCCCCGCATTACAATCAAACTGAACTAAAAAAAATATATATGTTAGAAGGCTTGTTAGATTTTTTTATGTTTTGCATTGTTTTATTTTACATTTTTATTTAATCATTTTCAGGATTACAAAACATTTATCATGAAAGCTGTGATTCAAAGGCAAAATGTGAGCAACGTAGTTTATCTAGAATATAAGTGATACAAATTTACCTCAATACACTTTACAAAGTGGCAAGATTTTTTTTTCACTCAGGAAAGACTCATCACTGTTATATTAGAGCTCGTAAAATAATGCTGTGTTGTGTTTCTGTAAACACAGAGAATGTACCGTTAATGACCTCAAGCATTTGACACACTGAAACAGTGCTACCTCACTTTTCTTGAGAATATGCAATACTTAATGCAGCATGTGTTTATGAAGCCTTCTGTTGAAATATACTGTATGTGGACAATCAAGAAGACATATCATTGAAAACATGTCTTGGTATTTGACTGGCATATTTCTTGGACATGTGGCCATGAGAAATAAACAAATCTTGTGTTGAGTACCAAACAATTGTATTTATGTAAAGTCAACGTTACATTTTCAAATCCACTTCTTTTTTTGCATTTTGCAACTACTATATAGTTTAGTCAAAATATCAGAATAGCCCCATAGAATCTTTGCTCTTCTGCCGTACTAATTGTATGTTTAGTCAGATTAAAAGCAAAAATATAGCGGTCATCTTAAAGTTGTTTTAAGCATGAACACATCCTAAAATGATAAAGGAAACATTCCACACCACATTTGAAAATATATTTAAAGTTCATTTATTAACTTGATCTTCAGCAGCAGCTGAGTTGAGGTAGTTTTGTCACATGTAGCCTATTGTTCTAATTGTCAGTAAGAATAATTATGAAGTGAAGTGTTGAAGTCAGTTTAGTACAGAGCCCCTGAAGTTTTAGCAGTTATATTTAAACATTACCTGACATAAATGTAAACACTGAGTTTTACTTGAGGGGTAAATATTAAGGGTACTTGGAAAAATGAAAAACTCATGTTCACATGTTTGTTTGTGTACATGTTTATAAAGTATGTTACAGTACAATTTGATAACTTGTACAAACTTGTTTGAAAAGTATTTGACTGAAGTGCTAACACAAACCTAACTTATTTACAATCTCTTGCACACAAGATATTAACTTGTGCACAAAATATATATATATTTTTTACTTTCCGGGACTTCAGGGGCTCCACAGTTTAGCTGTTGGAATCCAGGAATATAACTATGATCATCTGATCGAAATTTTTCCTTTTTATATACATGTATGAACCGACGTGTGTGCTAGTGAAGCTAACTCTCTGATGTAGTCTCTTAACTCCAACTTCATTTTCACTTCTCAAGGTGCTAACCAGGCTGTAAAGAATGAGTCACAAATGAGAGGATATCTCCATCGGACATCCTTAAGCATGAACCATTGACTTAATTACGTTCTCTGAAGTTGGCAGTTGCTCACAGATTCTATCTAACCGTTTGGATATTGCAAATTCAAGAATGCAGGCTTCGAGTTGCCTCAGTTACTATTGAAACTGGGGCCAATTTGGCATGACCATGTCCTGAAAATGTCTATACGAGTTTGATATCTTTTCATTATTAAGATCTGTTTTACCAAGTACACCAAAAATAAAGTGTATCTGGTTAAACCCATAAGAGGATGTAATCCAAAAAACACATTGCAAACAGATGCTTAAATAACCTCTTAAGGCTTTTCTGACACAAAGTGGAAATGTTAGACCCCTTTGGAGCAGTAGCTTGTAGCACAATCCATTACATTACCTATTGCCAGGCTGGGGCCCTGAACACAATCATATAAGTCAAGATTTGGTCGTATTAGTGCATCTACAGGTGATTTATAAACTACTCCCTGTTTCAAGGGGAAATTTGCAAATTTTAATTCTTGCCATGGCCACATGGTTTGAGTTTTGTACACTTTACATCGTTGAGGTCTCCTCTAGCTTTTCATTAAATTTGAGTTCGATTAGATTTATCACTTAGGACGAGTTAATCAAAGTATGACCCCTGGAAACAGGCAAAAAATTGCCCTCCAACTCCAGGCACAGCATTGGCACTGGGATCAATGATTGACTTTGTAGTCATATCATCCAATCTGCGGTTGTATGTCTCAAGGCCTCAATTGATAACTCATGAAGGAAAAGAAGGTCTCGGCTCAGTCGGTTCTCAGCAAGGCTGGAGGCTGCTGACATGGACTGGGGATATTGTTGGGCAGTGGAACGGACACTTTGAGGATCTCCTGAAGCCAACCAACCAGATCTTTTGATGAGAAGGCAGAGTCTAAAGATCCAGGGGAACTCAACTCTATCCCTGGCAAAGGTCGCTGAGGACCGTAGTCAAAAAGCTCCTAGGTTGCAAGATGCCAGGTGTGGATCAGATTTGTCCTGAGATGATTAAGACATTGTTGGGATGTTTTGTCTGACACTTATCTCCAATGTTGCATGGACGTCTAGGGCAGTGCCTGTGGAGTGGCAGACTGGGGTGGTGGTCCACATTAAGGTGGCCAGAGGGTGTGCTCCAACTATTGCTCACACCCAGGGAAGTTTACTCTAGGCTGCTGGAAAGGAGGGTCCGCTGATTTTTAAATCAAGAATAACAATGCGCCCAATCCTGCCCGTGGATCAATGGCCCAACTTCCCTATTGAAAGACTTCCTGGGGGAGCGTGGGTTTTGCTCATCCAGTCTACATGTGATTGGTGGAATTGGAGTAGGTCTACCATCATTCTCCTTGGGGGTTCATGTGGGGAATACTGCAGGAATATGGGTTTCCAGGGCCTTTGCTATAGGCCATCCAATCCCTGTATGACCAAAGTGAGCGCTGTGTCCATCTCAGCTTTTTGCAGATATTTTTGCAGCTGTTTGCCATCTCAGGTTGGGACCTCTAGCAAGCATTGGGCTGGTTTTCAGCCGAGGTGTAGGCAGCACCTCCAAGTCCAAGGCCCTAGTTCTCTCCTGTAAAACAATGTTTTGCTTCCTCTCTAGGTGGGATGTGAGTCTTCGCCTAGGTGAAAGAGTTCAAGTATCTTGGGGTGTTGTTCACGAGTGATGACAAAATGTATTGTGAGATTGACAGATGGGTTGGTTTTACCAGACAGTTGTGTTGAAGGGGGAGCTGAGCCTGAAGGCAAAGCTTTCAATATACCAGTCAATCTACATCTGATCCCTCATCTATGGTTATGAGCGTTGGGTAATGACTGAAAGAATGAGATCACTGATACAAGCAGCTGAAAGGAGTTTCTTTAGGAGTTACCTTAGAGATAGGGTCAAGGAGCTTGGAGTTAAGCCGCTACTCCCTCGCATCGACAGGAGCCAGTTGAGGTTCTTTTGGCATCTTAGGATGCCTACTGAACGCCTCATTTTGAAGGTTTTTTGGGCACGTCCAACTGGGAGGAGACCCCTGGGTAGATAGAGCCTGCTGGAGGGATTATATATCCCATCTGGTTTGGGAATGCCTCATATATCTTGCATCAGTTACGAAGACATGTACATACATAATATTATAGTACTTATATAGGTAGAGTTACAGGGGCTAGCTTTAAAAATTATTTTACAACACTTTTTTTTTAAGGTTTTACTTGAGGTGCATTTAGCTTAACAGACACTGGCAGGGCTAACACATGTAATGGAGTATTATTATATTGCAGTATATGAACTATACTCAACCAAAAGATCTTCAAACACCACTGAAAAATACAAACCAAAAAGGGAGTGGCCTGACGAGGGTATATTCCCTCCTTTAAGTCACACACACTTTCAGATTCAGTGTTGTCATGCATCAAATAACATGAAAATATTGTGTATTGTGTTAGTATTGAACAACTTAATTCTATACAGGTCCTGTCCTGTTTTAGCTACAGTCATTAAGGTTCGTTTCCAACTGGTATGTTTCATATTGGTTTTCCAAATACATATTTGACAACACAGCACATTTAGAAAATCAAAAATCGACATGCTTTGTGCATAAAACAGGAATTAAAGAAAAAGTCTGTGTCTGTGACTTTATTCCTGAACTGCAGCAGACCTGTGACAGAAGCTGTACTAATGGAGATAAGAGCTCATGGGTCACAGGGTGGACGCGGGGGATGGGCAGCAGGGTTTACTTCTATAGTCACACTGCTGGATTGGCATCTGGACCCTGTGGAAGAAACATTCTGCAGGCACGATTTAAAAGGAATTATGAGGTGGATATCCCCGCCCACGGTCCTACCCGTCTGGGAGGAATAATACTACTCATGTCACTGTGCAGATGAAGGGATCACTGTCCTGGGACAAAGATTGGAATAAACAGTCTGCAGAGAGTCAGGACAACATTTTTTTTTTTTTTCATATACAAAGACACCTGCAGCTGCTCACTTAGATAAAACCTTTATCTTGTACTTGGAGGTTCTTCCTTTGTCAGAAGGATATCATGATATGTTTTGATTTTTAACTTGTTTTTTTGCTCAAACCTGAAACCTGTGATGTTAATTGTTTATGTTTATTTGTGCCTTAGTGACCCCACACATATGGCTTTCATTGATCCTATGAAGCAGAAGTACATGGGGACAGAACTGAATGCCAAAATGTGATTTCCTGAGTCAGACAAATGACTTCACAGGGGCTTCTGGGCTTCTTCTTGCAGAACTTTTGAAATAGGATTTAACTAACCTGCAGCATTGGATTGTCACCATGCCTTACCATGATGAGGAGTACCCGGGTCAGCCTCTGTGGCAGTCCGTGCTGCTCTTCTGCTGTAAGGGGATGATTGAGGGCATCATGGTAATCCTCTTCTTCTGGCTGCTGGTGCAGGTCCTCTTCACCAAACAACTCGAAGGTATGGTCTTAAAGGAAATTTAGCGGTTCTAAGTCTAAAATATATCACTTGTGCCGATATTTAGTAATGAAAAGCTACAAAGTAAATAGAATGTGCTTTAAAATAACGAAATGCTACTGGTAATTGTTCCTTCTGTCCATACTAGCTCTTGTTGTTGTTTCCATAATTTCCATGTATTGTCAATTATGATAGGTGAAAATATACCTTAGTAAATTTCTGATGTCAAGATCCATTTTTGTACTGATCAGATTTATAGTTCTCCACCTTTTTTTCTCTGATTAAAAGTGATCAGAAATGATTTTTTTTCACCCAGCCTTCATGGATAAGAGGAATTATTACAGCAAACAACGATTTCTTAAATGCTCATAATGGAATGTCTTTTTAGGGCAGACTTGGAAATGTGTAAACTGATAGCATAGAGTCAATGCTTTCAGTCAAATTAAGAAAATAATTCTATCTGTAATAGCTTGTAAACTCTTGTCATCTGATTTGTCTTGTTATTCTTTGTTATGTCTACAGTTCACCTCCAAATCCTTCTTTTAGTTGGATTGATTGTTTTCTGTCTGTGTTTGGTCCTGGGATGTATTCTGTGCTGGAGGAAAGGTCAGATCTGTGGTGTTAAAGACAAAAATACTGTGACGTCAGCACCGGCTCCTGCTGAACCTTTGACCTTTGCACAGAG